AGCAGTAGTAGATCCTCGTTTGGGAGTGGTCATACAGCGGGCACAGGTCAATCCAAACGTAGGTAAGGCTTCCTTGCTGTTTTCCGCTTCCTACGACGAAAAGTGAAGCAATACGGAGAGGAGAGACAAGAAGCGAACTCTACTGACACCTCCTTAGCAGCTCTTCCCCGGGTTCACAGCACAAAACAGGTTGAGGAGTGGGGCCGACCAGGTTGTATTCCACATCAAGAGTACGACAAAGACAGACCGATCAATAAGTCAACCTTCCAGCACATATGCTCCACACATTGGCACAAGAACAAATCTCCTGAGGAGATGCGCCTGTTAGCCTACACCCAACCTTGAGTCATGGCGAGAGTCAGGTTCAGTGCACCGCAAAGCTTGCAGACCAGAGTCAAATTTACCTAGTGGTAGGCATGGGGTAGCCCCATTTCCAAACATCATTGATCTGTAGCTTGCATGGATTGTGTTCAACTGATAGTGGCTGGGACGGAAGTCACACAATTCGTATTCCTATCGCGTGGAATTGCTTCTGCTCCGCCATGTCATTGGGGATGTATTCAAATACTTGCTATTAGTTCTAGCATGAAATATAAGTTACGCCTGGCAATTTCTAGAAATGTGCCAAAGGGATCAATGGGAGCATGTTCAAATACTGCTCTTGTACGACTAGAATCAGCCGTCCTACTCATGGGCAGGTGAAATTAGCTTCACCAGTGATGGTTAAAGTTGCATAAGAGAGAACAGAAAATCAAGGGTAAACAGCTTGCAAGGTAGTGACTGAACATAAGTCAGAGTTTTCAGTGACCCACGCGCCTTTTGGGCCGTTATGCCAGGAGGGAGTTGTCCGCGGACGATGACTCTTGGCGGTGAGGGTTGAAAAAAGAATCGGGAATTTCCACTCAGGTGTGCATTGAACTCCAGGACATTCTGTGGAGAGTGCTGACAATGGCCAGGTGAGACAATCTTTCGCATCTCACCCCGGACACCCGCGGCCCCCGATGCCGTTGAAGCCGTCATGACCTGATGAGAGCCGTAACACAATTCGCTCGGGTATCCTTCTTTCCGGAGACTAAATCTTATGCTTACATCGAGATTGGGTTCCACTTGTGGATGAATTATCCCGGACGGACTCCGTGTCTGCTAATAGCCTCGATGCCATTTGCTGGTTCGGGAGAAGAGTGGAGGGTATGAAGACCGGCAGTCACAATGCCAAGCCATGAAGTCAAGTGGGTTGAAACACTCAAAATCAACTTGTTGGATTTATTAACTTGGTGCTGGCCTGTCTCTGCTATCGACTCAATCTCCTACTCGCATCATACAGCTGTCAACCATCTTCTGTTTATCAGCTCCGCTAATCCTCCACAGAGACTTTCTTTATACTTCGTTCCTGAAAAAAAAGAAGATCCGGCACATATTACCATGGCAGGCTATGCCCTCGTGTTAGCTGCAGTGGCCATAGCAGTGTACGCTGCCTACCGCCTACTGCTCCCAAAGCCAATCCCCGGCATCCCGTACAATGAGGCCGCTTCCCGATCCATCCTCGGAGACATACCTGCCATGCTGAGCGAGGGAAAGGAAGCCGGCTTCTCCTGGATGATATCTCAAGCCAGCAAACGCCCAGGCCCGCTCTTCCAGTTCTTCCTCGGTCCCTTCGACAAGCCCTTTGTCCTCCTCACCGACTACCGCGAGAGCCGGGACATTCTGCTACGCCGCAAAGAGTGGGATAGATCCGACTGGTCGATCGACATTCTGGGCGGCCAGATCGCCAAGCATCACATCAACATGAAGACTGGACCAGCGTGGAAGGCCCATCGCCGCCTACTGCAAGACCTCATGAGCCCGTCCTTCCTCAACGATGTCGCGGCTCCCAACATCTACCATAGTGCTGAGGGGCTGGTAAGTTTGTGGAGAGAAAAAGCTCGTGTTGCTGGTGATAGGTCGTTTTCAGCCGAGGCGGATGTGTACTATGCCGCGCTGGATGCCGTACTGGACTTTGGCTTCGGTGAGAGCTTCCCACACCGAGCCGTCCCTCACCAACAAAAGCTTTTCGAAGCATTGGAGGCGAACGACACCAACTCGCTGTCTAAAGATGGCGACGTGATTGAGTTCGAAAAAGCACCTATCCACGAGACATTGGAATCCATGCTTCGGATTGCTGATGCGATTGGAGCAGTGGCTGATACTGGCCTGCCAAAGTTGGGTTGGTGGTGGCGGAACCGTCAACCTGCAGAGCGAAAAGCACACGGTATTCGGGACACCCTCGTCAAGCAACAGGTCTTGATGGCCAAGGATAGGCTCCTTCAGGAGGATGGCGAAGCCAAGAACAAGATCAAGTCGGCCATAGACCTGATGGTAAACCGGGAGAAGATATTTGCGGAAAAGGACGGCCGCCAGTCAGTGTTTTGGTCCGACGACATTCGTGATGAGGTGAGTTACCTCTCCATTATACCCTCTTTCTAGCGAGGTTTGGATGGTCCTGTGGATGAAGACACTAACCTAGTCAGATCCTGGGATTTGTAGTAGCCGGCCATGACACCACCAGCACAACCCTTCTCTGGGCCGCCAAGTACCTAACCGACTCACCCGATGCGCAAAAGAAGCTACGCGATGCCCTGCGGTCGACTCACTCCAATCCCTGCGCTGAAGGCCGACCGCCCACTTATAGAGAGATATCTTCAGCCAACTGCGGCTATCTGGAGGCATTCATCGAAGAGTCGCTACGACTAGCCAACACTGTTCCAATGCTCGAACGACAATGCGACAAGGACACTGTCGTCTTGGGTCATCACCTGCCGAAGGGCACAACTCTTCTGATAGCCACAAGTGGCCCAAGCATCAGCGAAACCGGTCGACAAATCGATGAGACCCTTCGCAGCGAGTCGAGCCGAGTGGCCGCCAAGGAGCGCGATCTTCGGGAATGGTCTAGCCACAATCCGGGCGCGTTCTTCCCCGAGAGGTGGCTGGAAAGGGATGCAGACTCGGGTGAGTTATCGTTCAACCCGCAGGCTGGGCCGACATTGCCGTTTGGTTTGGGTCTTCGAGGGTGTTTCGGGCGAAAACTGGCCTACTTGGAACTGAGGCTGATGATAACGCTCCTGGTCTGGAACTTTGAGTTCAAGCCCACTCCCGCAAGGTTGTCGGGATATGAACCTGTTGATGGGTTGACGCATAAGCCAAAGACTTCCTATGTGAGGCTGGAACCAGTGAAGTATTGAAAACATTGAGAAACGGGTCTTGAGAAGAATGGTTATACAGGCTGCTTGTATATTAAGTTATTTATCGCAAAATCAATTGGAACTCAACTCAACCATTCTCCTAATCTTTCACTGGAGAGTTTGATCGGAGGATATGAATGAGGCACTCTCTGCGTTTCTTAGCCAACTTCTCAAGTGAACAAGTGACACATAGAGTTACTCGTTATGGTAAAAGAGCAAGCGACCACTTAGATTGGTGAGGCTATCGAATTATCATGCAAACTGTAGTTCGTAAACTCTCGCCTGCGATGTCTATAGGGTAGATTGAGGAGACGAAAGAGCAAAAAGAAATCTACAACAGCCGGTATTCGCTGGTCGTCACCGACCCAACTACTAATCGGCCCCTTACTAGCTTAACGTACGGAGAGCAGACGGGATCCAGTGCTGTCTAGTAGGTATGGTCGTAGATGAGAGGCGGTGATGGTATGTAGTAGATATACTCGGCAGGTTGGTTCTTCGATATCGGTCCACAAGAGACTCAGCGGTTTGTGGAGTAACTAATGTACTTTCCCGGGTTGAGAATCTCGAACAAGCTGGTCGATCGGTTGAACCTAGTTTTAAATGGTCGATTTATCTAGAAGCACCCAGTGTTTATTAGAATGGCAGCTAGTTTGCGAGGAGAGATGAGAGCCGTTTCAGATCCCACCCCTCCATGCTAACTCAGGCATGAGGAAGACAATGGTTAATGGGTGTGACATGGGGATCGACTAGATATTTGCTACCCGGACTTCAGCCTAGACAGGAGCATCCGCGCGCGAGGAGAAGCTGTTGTTGTTGGTCTTCGGTGCTCGAGCTGTTTCATCAGCACAACCAAAGCAGTGGCAAATCGGCCACCGCCGCTTGAATACGACAGCCAAATACACATGGTATATTTAGCTGCTACTTTTCTGTGAGAAGCCGAAGACCCGCTGAGTGAGTATCTCAATTATCCAAGCGAGACTAGATGGTTTCTAATGCATTGATTGCAATGAGGAGCCAAAGCTCAAGATGGAAAATGCCGAATGCGCGCATTCCACTAAAACCCACCGAAATACAGTGGAGAGTCGCTGTAAAGCGTTTCGAGCTTCAGTGGGGTTAGTGGAATAAGAGCGCTGTAACCGGCTGTTTACCACACAAGGACGAGCAAAGGCAAAGGCTGTCCGTGTAGGATGGCCAATCGTTAATTGGGAGAGAGAAAACAGCCCAAGAAGCCTCAATGTGGGTTTTATAAGCCAGTCGCAAATACGTGCACAAGCGGCAGGTCGATTGCGACCTGCGTGTCAGATCGTGTCCGGATGTGGTGAATCTGTCGCGATGCTGCTGCGGATCTGCCGCGCGCGCAAAGGCCCAGTGAAGAAGGAGATCACGCCGCCAATAACATAGCCAGGAGATGGCCGGGTTAATTTATTACGAGCATCTAAGAGTGTTCTAGGTTGTTTCCGTCGGGCCGCATCGACTTATGAAAGGGCGATCCCTTGATCTAATGGGGAAGCCGTGTACGTCCTCCTTCGCCTCTTGACGGTAGGATTTGCACGAACACTCAGCTCACTGCCTCTCACACGATCCACTTGCTTGTATGTGGTCCGGGGTGTCTTTCCAGTTCTCTGGACTTTAATTTAGGGATTAATTAATATATTCGTTACATGGCCACTCCCTCCGCCCTGGCCAGGTATGGGACTCCTCTCGCTGGTCGCCCTCTAAGCTGATCTTGAAGCTCTGCTTCCCCAGCACATCGGTCTCTCATTGTCATTATCCACTGTCGTGATGACGATCCAGTTTGAGCCAGAGGCAAGGAGCAACTTCCACGCCGTGGTTGTCATGCTGGCTCTTTCCGGCACCACCGTCTTCCTACGTATCGCCGTTCGCTTCTCCCAGCGCCAGAAGCCCGATCTCCCCGACTATCTCGTCGTTTTGTCTCTTCTCCTATATGGCGGCTATGGTGCCACGATACTACATCGTAAGAGACCACTTTCCGCAAGTACGAATGAGAAGGCCTTGGCTAATGAGAGACTCTATTCAAAAGACATCTTCAATGTGTCGAGTATTGGCGCATTTGAAGGCATGCCAATGAAGACGAACAAAATATCCATTTGGGAGCGTCAGGAATTCATGAAGGTACGATTTGAACAGGGTCCGTGGTGAATGAAGCGCGCGGTGAGCAGATGGAAGCATGGAGCTGACCAGAGAACATCAGATGGTCTTCGCGGACGAGATCATCTTCTGCGTCATCATCACCCTCATCAAAACCAGCCTCCTCATCTTCTACTGGAATATTTTCTCCGTCAGCAGGCTCCAGCGCAACACCATCATTGCCACTGCCACTGCCTGCCTCATCTGGTTCCTCGTCTTCCTCTGCCTCACCATATTCCAGTGCCACCCTGTCCAGTACATCTGGGAAAAACTTAACCAGAAGGAATATTGCCTTTCCTCTCCTCCAATTCTTCTCTCCATGGAGGTCACAAACTTGTTACTCGATATCATCGTCCTCGCCATCCCCACTTCAGTTGTCAGCCAGCTCAATCTATCAACTCCCAAGAAGGTGTCCGTTCTCGGTATCTTTCTCGTCGGCCTTGGGTAGGTGACTTTACAAGCTGATCCGATTTTCTTCCTTCGACTCATGCGGCTAATTATCATATCAATCCAGAGTGTGTGCAGCAAGCATTGCCAGAATCACTGCCATCTGGAGACCGCCCAATGTTTTGTACAACAGTGAGTTTCCCACCCACCTCCATCGGATCACTGCGGATCCTAACTGCCAGGTTTCTACCAGTTGATACCCCTCAAACGATTCTGTGGTCCACTCTTCAGATAGGCATGGCCATAATTTGCGCATGTCTCCCTACCCTCGGCCCATTGCTTCGCTGTAGTGCTGTCCGCGCCAAGAGCTGGTCTGGGTCTGGCAACATTATCCGCAGCGCTTCCATGAAGATATCTGACGTGGAAACCCCGGACTTCAGGGAACGTGCAGTCGACCAAGACGGCCACGGCTTCTACGGGGCTGGGAGGACTTGGTCAGTGAGGGGAGACAATGACCCAGAGCAAGCAAGTACCGATTCAAAGATTGAACTGCATGAGCTTGTGCCGCCTAGGCGGATTCGAGTCCAGAAAGACATTGTAGTACACTAAACAAGTAATTAACATGTTATGAGTCTTTGATCCTGCAAACCCTTGCTATTGCTCGGCTTCCCAAACTTCCATTGCTTCAAGAACAGAAATAGACAGTGATTGTGGAACTATCTGAACGTACTGTATAGCTCGAAGATACTTCCCCTGGAGGAATCCTAAGCCCCAACGAGTGTTTCACAATCTCATCAGTCGCCAGTTCTCGACTTTTTCTCTTCTTCCCAATATGACCCTTAATGCCCTCCGAAAACAAATTTCAACTTGTACCAATGACGGTCGTTGTCAATATCATCCCCAATATGACACTACAAAAAAAGGAATCAGATTCAACAAAGATCACAATTAGTCCCCCATTCCAGTCTTGATTCTACCACAACCCCTTGCACACTGCGCCGAGGGCGATCTTTTGTTAGCGATACACGTCAAGTAGGTTCGGAGAAATCAGGCAGCAGACTTACAATGTCTTTGGAGCAAGATATAACCGATGTACAAGAGTTGACCAATTTATTGTCTAAATTGTGTGTCGTCCACAAGGTTCAGTGGCCTTCCCATACAAAGTTAACATGACGAACTCGTGGGAGGTAATCAGAGGCCATATCGTGTTGATATGTTCAGTGAGATCACGCGTTCGAGCTACCAGCTCCCATACCCCGGTGAGCTGGGCGTTTTGTTACTCTGATCTCGCTGCTTTGTGCATCTTCGAAGGACAAACTTGAGCAGATTTGTGTCCTCTTCATCGCGAGGAGCTCTCTTTCTATGAAAAGCTCTTCTTGCCTTCAGATACACGGCGTCATGCTATAGTTAGGCGCAGCAGTCAGCTAGCAAACCTCGATACGAGTTGGAGAATGACGAAAAATGGGACCTACTGGGAGCCATTCCGGCCGAACCCTCGTCACAACTTCCATCCGTGAGCTATTGGCAGCAGAAGTCAATTTGTCGAAAATGACATGTTTGGGTCTGAATTCAGCCAAGCAGCTGGTTGCCTTGATGGTAGAAATACATCCGCCGCTGCGGATTTTGTAATGCCCATGAATCGGATCGTCCAGAAACGCAGCGTGATGGGAGAAGCTCTTGGCCAGGACTTTCTTCACAATATCATAGCGAGCTTCTTCACGGCCCTTGGGTCGACCTACAGCCCCCATTTGAAGGTTGCTGAAGAAATCGAGAAGCTCACCACGAAACCTGAGAACGGCCTCCAGAGCTGTCCTATCGAGGGAGGACTCTGAGCAAAAGAATTCGACAAGGTCAGGTTTTTCCTCAATCACCCTTTCGTAAGCATATAAGGCGTGCATATAGCCAAGATGATCAGACTGGTGAGATATGAATCTACCCAGAGCAGACTTGGAGTGCGCAGGTACCTCGGCACTAGGAACAAAGATGGGTCGACGAGAATTGAAAATCGCGGCAAGGCAAACGAGGTCATATTGCACGCCATAGCGAAAGCCTTCGACAACCGCTTTAAACCAGACGGGAGAAATGGGACTGTCGGATGCCATGCAACGATAGGCCGTTTTGCCGTCTTCGGTCATCAAGTGATCATCGTCGAGAAAGCCACTAGAAATCAAAAGTTAATTCACGTTCAAGATGCAAGGGAAAGCACGTCCCGAGTGCTTTAAACGAGGGCAGAGAGTAGGTTCTTGCTGGAAGCAAAACTTACAGAGTCTCCAACTCCCAAATCCCTGCTTCGACGATTGCCGGACTCGGTGAATCAAGAAGGTGCAGATCGTTGATCCTGCGGTAGTCCAGCGTTTTCAAGAGGAGTATTTCCGATGTCATACTCGTGCGGAGCAACTCGGGCGATCTCTGTAGTTCCAAGCCATCATAGGTTGCCTCGCTGTAAAGGCGGAAGCACACACCAGATGGCGCTCGAGCGGCACGTCGGTCAGCATTCTTTTTGAAAACAGGTTCGATGGATGTCACTTCCATCCGGGCTGTGGGGTTAAAAGTTTTTTCAAGAAGCCCTGAGTCTATGTTAAAAAGCATCAGATGTTAATATAGACTGAAAGAAGACAAGGCACAAAGAAGGAGAGACTGGAGACAAATAATTAACATACCAACAACGTAGGTAACACCATCAACATAAAACCTGTTCTTAATCAGTTCTGTGCTGATGATACACTTTTGCCGAGGAGACGAAATGAAGGCTTTCCGCTGTTCGTCAATTTTGAGATCTTCGTGAAAGGGGACGATTTCTAGGGCGGTTTCCCGGCCCTCCAACTGTGAGCAGAAAAACTTGACGTCGTTGGCGGTTGCGAGCACAACAAGAATGTGACCAAGAGTAATAGGTGCCAAGGCCAGATGTATCTCGTGCTCGACCTTCTCGATCTCGAGGACAAGTTCCACGATATCAGTAAGCACTCAGCCATCCAGCTTCGGGCAGTATTGAACGATGGCTGGCTTGTTGTGGCTGGAAATTGTCATGGCCAAAGGAGCAAGGTCGTCGAAATAAGTGAGCAACGGACTGGTATCATAGGCGCTGCAGATGATCACAACCTTGAATGCGGAGCGAAAGGGAAGCAAGTCTTTGAGAGCCATCAACAAGATATCGATAGCTTTGGTTCTTTGATCGACCTCATCGATGATGATACAGCTCTGATTCTCAGTGAGCATTTGCAATACAGAAAGAAGAAGATATGTAGCGGAGGTCTTACGTATTTTGATAGCATGCCATCACCCTGAAACTTCCACAGCAATTTCTCAGCGGTTGTAAACTCTAGGAGTGTCTCGCTCGTGGTTCTGTCGTCTCCAGGAATGCTGTAGCCAACTTTATCTCCAACCTCGCAATCAAGTTTAGCCGCCACCCGGTGGGCGAGCAAAGTTGTCGTCGATTTATTTGGCTGGGCCGACGCCACCCGCTTGCCGCTGTTAGGCTCTTCCGAGAGAACGAATTCGGGGATTCGTGTAGACTTGCCGCAACCGGGTTCACCAGACACTATGACAACCTACGTGTTCATCAGTCTCTTAGCAGTTCATGAACAGAAGCGGGGATCTAAACGCAATACGGATCATGATGACTTACTTTAGATGCACGGTACAGGTCGAGGAACTCCTGACGCTGTTGTGCGATGGTGGAGGGTTGGGTGCCAGCGCGAGGATGGTTTCTAGCCTCATTCTCAAGCCTCAGTTTTCCTCGGGAAGAAGTCGAAGCCCTTCCATCAGGCTCCATCGTTGCCGTATAGCTAGGGAATAACAGAAACAGTGCGGATGATGTAAAGAAACGCTTGAGCACTAGGATATGTGGAATTCCGATGTTGCGTGTAATAGAAAGCAACGTGTAGGTTTTTGGTTGGATTATGTTGTCGTGTGCGGGAGGAAGAAAAAAACCAGAGTAGCTGTGGTTTGAGCAGGAGTCGCGTAGTACTTGGACGTGAATGTGGAGTGAGCAAGTGACAGAGACGTGTCATGGTACAAACACTTCTCACAAGTAACCACTCCGGCCAAATGTAACTATCAGACCGAACTTGAGTGAACGCCGGTGTTCAGCAACTCAACATTACCAATAACCTCCCTACCCAACACATCAATAGCTTCAACAAAAAGAGTTCATCGGGTATTGGACTCTTCAGTACGCTTCCCTATTCGCTTGCTCTTCACCCGTGGTGCTAGAGAAGTATTATAGAATTACATATTAAATAGCTCACCCTTGTGTCCTAGGCTGATCTTCTAGCGAGACTGAACCAAGTCCCGGCTAACCCAGGTTTTTGGCAATCCAACAAGAGGAGATCATGGATTTGGAACCCACATGTCACAAGTATCCCTCATTCTAGCTATTCAAATGGTTACACTCCTCGATATAGTAGGTATCTATGCATGTGCCACTTGCCGATATTGCCTACGGGTGAGAGAATTTCATAGCTTGACTCACAGTCAAAACAACAATAGAAGATGCAAGACCCAACATCTCAGCACAATTAATACGATTGATAATACCTATAACGAAGAAATGAAAACAGTCATCCCACACGTTACCCTGAAAGTTCTTGGGACTGATTTTAGAGTTTCATTAACTCTAGGAATGAATGGGAGGTGAAAGGTCCGTGCTAAGCGAACCCCCATTTGATGTACCCGAACTTTCGAGACAGCCAGCAGCCGATGGTCACCCCGGAAATACCCATCTGGTCATCAGCCCGATCAAACACGAGGGTCCAGTCGCCAGGCGGGTCAGCATCCTGACCGCGCGGACAGGCAAGAATCCAAACGTTACTTCCAAGATACGTCATAGGCGACGCCGGTCCGCGGCCCAGCGGTCCGTCAAACGCGCCATACAGCACCTCTCCCTGTCCAAAACACGTAAATCTCGACTGAAGCTCAGCGCAATCGTAGTTTCCAGGGATAGTACGATCTTGTCGAGATGTTTGGCTCGGGTGGAGACGGATTCCCTCGAGTGTTCTGTTGTCCTTCAAGCGATGGATTCTGAGCACGTCGCCATCAATCTCAGCTCGCATGTCCTGCGAGAACCCTTTTCTGGATTCATACAGCTTAATCACTTCTGTTTCCCCTGAATACAGAATCGAGACAGTCTTATCTCCTGTAATCTTGGTTCTAATGGAAAGCAAAGTGTCTAGATCCAAAAAGTTGCCGGTCCATTCGTCTGCCACCTCGACATACCATGGACTGATGGTAGCCGGCAAGGGAGTTGGGACTTTTAAAATAGCGAGAACCTCTCGTAGGACCAGCTTCGAAATACTGTCGGCATCCGCCTCATAGTTGAGCATCACGACAACAGAAAGGTTTTGCGAAGGCATGTGATTCCGACTAATGCGATAGCCGCGTAACGCACCGCCGTGGCCGATGAGTGCCGCTCCATCCAACTCGTCGAAAAACAGACCGTTGGAATAGAATGATTTGTTACGGTCTGAAAAGGTTCCCTGTTTCGAGTTTTTATGATACCAACTCTTGGGATCCTGCATGATCCGCTGCAGATGCACCTCGTAGGCAACCATGTCCTTGAGCGAAGCAACGACGCCTGCATCTCCAGACCACTCGATGCGGTTCCTGGCAGGAAAGTAACCCTCCTTAAGTCCACCTTCATATCCCACACACGGACCTGGCTGGTGCTCGGTGGATGGGCAGAGCACGGCTGTCGTCATTCCTGCTGGGACAAACACTCTCTCGCGGAGCAACTTGGAGAGGGACTCAAAGCTCGTCATTTCCACAACCCGGGCAAGAATATGGAAGTTGGTATTGGAGTAAGAGAACTCGGTGCCGGGCCTGAACTGAAGAGATCTGGCCCGGTAAATCATTGCGCGCGCATCATCCCCGAGGGAGAAGCGGTCGTCGGGTCTAGCCCCGAGCAGAGTGTTGGTGGCCCAATAATCGCGAATCCCAGACCGGTTATCGCACAGCAACTGAATAGAGAGTTTATTCTCCTCGCAAAATCTGCGAGTCAGCAGCGTTTGCAAGTTTGCCTCGAGCTGATCGTGGACACACTCTTGCAGGGGCATATTCTGCGGGGGATTATCCCTCAGAGTCTGCAGGACAGCACAAACCATCTGCTTGGTAATGGAGCAGAGTGGGAACATGGTTTCCCTTGTCATTGGAATCCGCTGGTTGAGATCAGCATATCCCCATGCCCGCTGGGCGAGGGGCACTCCATCCTTCACAATTGCAATGGCCCCTCCTGGTCCTGGGTGTAGCAGGCCAACCTTTTCAAATATAAAGTCTAGGCTCGTCATAGCTGCTTCTAGACGATGGTGCTGGATGTAGGTGAGCTAGCAGGTAAGGCACAGACTTGTCCCTAGTATGTATCGGCAAGCTTGGGGATGACACTATTTAACTCTTGAATGTCAAGATAGCAACATACCCCGCTTCTCCGGACTGCATGTGAGCCTGATACGAAAAAAAGCGACAGCCAGTGACGTCCAAGGTTCGGTCAGCCTGCATAAAGTGTGGGCCGAGACAGTAAGTAAACACCTGCTGTATCATATATCACAAGCGATGACAGAGGGCTGACGGAGTGCATCCAGGCTGACATGGAGATCAATGAAGCATACCGTGGAAGCTTAGGATGAAAGCTTTCGCTTTATCTCACCACAGTCATTTCACATTCTGAACTTTGATATCTACTCTTTGTTGGGACACAGAAAAACAAGATTTGAGTTCACGCGGGCCTCTTCCGCCTTGCGGCGATATGCGATAGTTCACAGCTCCTTTTACTTTGAACCTACCCTCCACTATGTTGTTGCAAAATGTCGCTCGTGGGTTCCAAACATGTCACAATCCCCAGAGTAAACAGCATGAGTGCTGGTTAAGGGCGGGCCTTTCGTGTGACAGTAGGTGTGCTCTCAATCCCTGAGAAGGTACACAAGCAGTCAAGTAACAGACAAGCTTGAGCGCCCAGGCACGGGGTTTAGAAGCAATGAGATCAGCGAGCGCCGTGGTATTAATATCAGGGTAATATTACGAAAGAAACATGTTCGATTTTAGTTCTAGTCAAGTAGCCATCTCGGCTATACCAAGAATGACAAACTTGGGAGTCCAGGTCAGAATGTTCTCACCATGTGCTCACATTTCAGCTGCCCGTCATCAACCGAAGCACTATGTCACACGTCATCAAAGCAGTTAGCAGCTGTTGACAAACGGCTACAGACGCTTTAAGGTAGATTAGTGTCAACAAACAGACTGGGCGTGCTGCTTCCCTGGTCTTCCTTTCTCTTCGTTTTAGCCCTGATTTTCTCTTCTCTTCCCTCACCTCGACATCCTCTTTTCCATTCTTCTTCCGAAATCGCATCTGCACGATACCCACCGAATCGCCCAGTATGCTGCCAACGCCGCTACTCAGCGTCTACGAAGAATACAAAAAAGACACGAACTCTGTTGCTGCATGGCTTGCTTCAACCGCCAGGGCTGCAGGATGCCCATTGTCTCTCCTTACCGACTGTCCTGCCGCTTCTGGTCGTCTCAAGGGTAAAGAGAGGAAGCAGGCCAAGTTGAAGTTGTCCCAAGCCAGCAACAAATACATCATTCCTATCAGCAAGTTTGTCCCTCTCGCCGAATACGTCACGTCTCGGAAAGACCCAGCTATATCTGTACCCGCTTGTGTCATTTCGTCTATTGAGAGGGCCATCAGTGCGAGAGCGGGTTTTACCACCCAGCTTTCTCACCAAGAAGAGCCTTTGGATACCGAGAAGAATGAGAGACACGCACACTTTGTCACTGTCCTGAAGCGTACCCGAAATATCCTCCGCTCGAAAGAGACTATGACACCGTCTCCAACTCCCGCTTTCTGCTCAACCTCGGAAAAGGATATAACTGACACAGCCAACATTAATCGATTTGCATCACTCGAAATAAACCAACTCTCAGAAGAAGTCACAGACATGATGGCGAAGGAAAGACCTGAGCCTGCTGTGAACGACCCGAACGTCTATGAAGCTGAGCAACCGAAGACCTTCCGGGATGCATGTGACATTGCTTTCATGCTGTCCAAAGATCTTTTCAACATCCGCCTTGAGATCACCTCGAGTTGGGGTCACTTCGTGGATGGTGAATGGGACGTTTCCGCCGCCGCCCTCGCTTCAAACACTGCGCTGGACCTTGCAAGATTTATCATCCACCAAGCCGAACCCGTGTTTGAGCCGCACCACGGTATTGTCAAGTTTTTCGCGATGTTCAACCACAAGTCGGCTGAATGGATGAGCCGCTTTTCGCCCGACGTTGAAGGGCTCAGGCAACAATTCTACACGTGTGCCACAGGAGCTTTAAACGCTTGCTTGTCTTTCGTTCACAATAAAAGGATGAAAGGGTTTCCTCCGAGTCTCTCGAACTACGACCCCACGGTCTCCCGAGACAACATGTCTGACGAGAAAATGATAGATGATGAATTTGCGTTTTTGGAAAACTTGTTTGTGTCGTCGATGAATATAAACAGCGACGCCAAGGGATTCCCAGTCCTCGATGAGTTCACTCGCGAAGTTGCGCGTGTCTTGGAATCCGAGCAGATGAGTTTCTTCTTGTTGTTTGCAGGTCAGGTTTTCCTTGATATCAGTCTCCATATTCGAAAAGATGCTCTAAAAGCTTTTGACAAGATGCAACAAGAGCTGAGTTCAATTGAAAGCACTCTTGATTCATATCTCACTACCACAAACCAGGCATCCAAAGAGGCCACGAAAATTATTCACGACATCCGGTACGTGCTGGGGTTTATCAAGGAGGACCAATCCTTTGGAGACGTCGACGGAGCTGCCAGGAAAAACAACATGGAGCCACCTCTTCCAAATGAGAGACACCGTCTCTACAAGCTCTCGCCTGTTTTATGCGGTTTTACTACTTTCCATTTCCGAGCAAGGGTGTATGAGTTCAGCACTCGTCCTAGCGCGATTGCAGTTATCCAAGACGTCGCCCACCTTTACGAGGCTCTGTATTCCGAGGACGTGCTCGATTCGGACTGGCAAGACTTGACAGAGATGGAGATTAGACTCGGTCTGGGCGCCATCTTCAACTCCCAATCTGACTTCGAAAGACCAAGCGGTACGAAAGGGATTTTCAAGTCGCTTGCTCTCCAGAAAGGGGCATCTGTCTCTGCTTTGAAAAGGATGATGAATCTTTCCAACGGATCAATGCAGGTGTCTTTCCCAAGACGCACGAAAAGAACTATTGGGTCACAGACCCCTCTATCCGTCTTCTTCATGGACAGATATGTCCGAGACTCTGGGCGAGCCGACATGAGGCCAGAAGATGTGGAAAGGCTCCTCTCCCTCAGGAAATTTGAGTTCTTATTCCGTGGGGACGACGGACATGAGTATTCCATTGTTACGAGGAACGCAGCACAAGCTGAAGTGGCCAAGACTGTTTTGAAACCCGCCAAACCCGCCAAACTTTTCCCACACGAGCTAGCGAACAAACTAGGTCAAGACCTGAACAAAGAGAGTGTTATGTTTGCATTCCCATTTTTGGTGGTGGAGAATCTCTGTCAAGAGTTCCTTCGAGACCTTAGCACATCTCCCAGTCTCTTGGCTATGCAACAAGCTAACTCCATGAGGTTTGGACTGCCCGACTCGCCGGAATGTATCGTCTTATTTATTCTTCTATGCAACCTTCATGGATTGCCGATCAAAGAAGAGGTATACAAGATAGCCGCAGACTTGTTTCGCAGTAAGCTGTCTACTTGTTGGGGAAGGGCAGGTCACAACAAGATGGCGGAAACATGGCAACTTGACATGACTTTCTGTCGCTTTGAATTATCTTGAGGAAGGTGTTTCACGGTTTCGTAATAGACTGAGGCTCTCCGGCTCACGACGGGACGCTGTATTTGAAAGGGTCGGCACTTTTTGATTCAACTCCGCGCTTTCACGCCGAACATCAACAAGTACCGAGAAATCTCGATGAGGGTATGCATTGCTGCAGAGACGGTTTGAAGCAACTATTGAGTGCTATGATAACAAAGTCTTGAGAGGTTCAAAATGAAGTGAATTTGTATTTAATTCAGCAGGTATCCGAGTAAAATGGGGATTTCATGAAAGGACGGGCCACGGTAGATACCTGATTCCGATGCCCTAGCCACAGGGTTCTGGATATCCCCAGCAGTGAATTGATACCGAAAGGTTAACTAAATATAGAAACGTGATAAACATCGCCCTTTCTGGTGAAGCACTCCACCGAAAAAGACGAGTGACGCGGAGTTTACAGGCACTACCTAGGCTGGTCGATCGTATGGTGCGACAGCGTTCAGTGCGTAGGATTCCCCAGCCTTGCTCCAGCGTTTCTGGTTGCATCCGCAAGTACCGGGTCGGTAAGCCTCTCGGCAGATTGTGCTAGAGCCTGGAACAGGTGCCGAAACTACAACAGCAAGTTCAATATCAACCCCTGAGACTAGGCAATAACAGGCTGGTGGTGGGTCAGTCAGCTTACAGACTCCACGCTCAGACGCCTGTCTCGCTTGCTTGTTTGCTCTCGGTTCTTGCTGGGGATTCGGATTCGACTCCAGTCATGTCCACGCGTTTGCCAGGGATTTCGATCCAGAGAACCACTTTTGTCCACTTGAAGCCTTGAGATGTGAGATTTCAACGCAACTTATGCCGATAAGTGGCAGGCTAAACACGCAATAAAGCAAAGACCAACGGGAAATCCCCTGCGATGGGAAGATTAACAACGCTATTTTTGGGTCCGAGCCTCCCTAACAAGGTGAATTGCCGTGATGATACTCGAAAAAATGAGGACTGAATCTGCCTCACTTTATTCCATTCTACCCCGGCAGCTAATTTTAGTCTTTGTCTCCGAGTTTGGAGCAAGAGAGTATAAAATCTTCAGTTCCTCTTCGTCTAGATGAGAGGGAGCATCTACAACCAACAAACAACTTTCCATTCTCCGACAAGAATCAGATTACACCTAGAAGCTGGACTCCTAGCCTGATCGTACCACAGCCCATTCATTTGACTATTCCAACTATCACACAACCTTTTTTCTTTTCTCTTTATTTTTCAAAATGGTCGCTATCCAGAACCTTGGCCTCGCCGCTTTCGTGTGGCTCGGCCTCGCCAGCAAGGGACTTGCTATGGGCATCGATGAGTCCACTGACGGTCTTTACCTCGTGGAGAGAGACGAGCCCGTAGAGCTTGAGACTCGCACCAGAAAAGGAGGCCGACCTGGAGATGACCCCCGTACCTGGGGACCCAACGCAGGTGGTCACGGCCCCCGACAGGGAGGCCGGGGAACCCGAAGCGTCGAAGACTTCGAGACTGAGCTCTTCACCCGTACCAGAAAGGGAGGCCGACCTGGTGATGACCCCCGCACCTGGGGACCTAACGCAGGCGGCCATGGCCCTCGCCAAGGAGGCCGGGGAACACGGAGCATTGACGACTATGAGGGTGAGCTTTTCACCCGTACCAGACGAGGAGGTCGCCCCGGAGATGATCCTCGCACCTGGGGACCCAATGCAGGTGGACATGCCCCTCGACAAGGACGCAGGGGGCTCGAGACTCGTACCAGACGAGGAGGTCGACCCGGAGATGATCCCCGTACTTGGGGACCCAATGCAGGCGGCCATGGCCCCCGACAGGGCCCCAAGACAACCCGCGATTATGAAGGCGAGCTTTTCACTCGTACCAGAAAGGGAGGCCGACCCGGAGATGACCCTCGTACTTGGGGACCTAACGCAGGCGGCCATGGCCCTCGACAGGGAGGAGGCCGCGGAACACGGAGCATTGACGACTATGAGGGCGAGCTATACGCCCGCGCACGCAACAATCCCGGATACCACCCTGCTCCTGTCCGTGGCGGTAGCCAACCTCGTACTGGGCACCACGGGACTCGCGACCTGGAGGACTTGGAGTAAGAAGAGCCCAGGAGCCACATGCCGCCAAAGGCGATTCGGTATCTGCGACTTGACGGAAGTTGCCCTTTGCCGTTCTTGATGCCATTGCTTTGAGAGAACTCTGTTTCTCTTGTGTTTGTAATATTAGATAGGGAATAAAATAAGCGAGCCTTTGATAGTAAGTGAGGGAGCTGTACAGCTGCTGAAAAAAAAAAAAGGGGGGGGGAAATTCCCAGACACCAGTAATTTGATTACTTGATACCATACCCAGGCATCATAACACAATAAACTTCAGCCTTGCGGCTGCGAGCCTTTTGCCCGGCCGTATCCAAGGTTTAATACCAAAATAGCTGTACTCGTATCGTACATAAGGTTTATTAATACCAAAGGCTGTGCCCGGCAGTGACTCTTTCGCCGGCATGACTCCTTTTGCGAACCTTAAGATGCTGATTTTCATCTATTAAAGGCTGCTGTTGCTGGCCTGAATGAACTGCACAGCTCAAGTCCATATCGACAATTCGCAAATAAGCGAGCCTTTGATTACCACCGCTTATCCTCGATTGTGTTGCTATCAGGGTTGTTCAGACATATTCATCGTGATTCGAAACTATGTGACCACTGCGGCGTTCCTAGCAGGGTTTTCTTAAGACCTCCGTTACTCAATATCGCACAAGACGCTTCTAGGGTCTGGTATGAGTACAATCATACACAGGCGGGCTCACAAACCCAGCTTACGGAAAGCTTAACCGCGAGGTTCTTGGAACAAAGAGGGGGTTTATTTCGTGCTGCGAAGAGCAATGTGATCCCAGTGCATCAAAAAGTGATAAAGTAAATTTCTTTCTTCAGCCTTGAGTTTCCGCGTTGAACTCCAGCCCAAGGATTTTGGTCGTTATAGTCAAAGTCCCTGGAAGTGACGATTGCCTGCTCATCGACGCCACACAGGATATGCCTATCACTAACGTTTTTGGGGTAGTCAGGCCTTTTCAAATTAACCCAGGTGCGATTGGGCTTGATATTTTTGTGCGCTGAAAGAAATTGTAGAATAATCCGTGGTTTTCAATCGTGATAAGGCATGGCATCTAGCGGCAGCCATTGTTCGCTTAAAACCCTCTATAACGTGAATCCCAGGATTAAGTACTTGCATGAAAATCCCAGAATAGAAACAGATTAAAATTCCCCGAATCAGCATTGCTACTATTTTCCGAATTAGCGGGCTGCCAACTGAAGTCTCCCGCTTAGGTGCCGGAACGGGGATTTTGACAATCACGAAAACTCCTTGTCCGCTCAATAATAAGCTCCGATGCGACAAAGCCGGGCTTCCAGATTCGCAAAACTCCCAAACGCCGGACGAGTTACGTCAAGTCTTGGGGGCGAGGCGTATTTACGATGTGTAATTCAGCCTCTGCACTTCAAATAAACATAGAACCTAGAATATAAAGCCTAGAGGGTTGATAGCCATCAAGTCCTATGTTTCAGTCAGTGTTCATCCCTTAGTTTTCCCTCAGTGAGCGATCAAGAGAATATTTCAGTTCCTCTTAGTCTTCCAATTTTGTACAAGCACACGTCTTTGTTCTACAACGTTCTACAACAACAAAAATCATGACTGATACGACCTTCACTGGCTACAGCGAGCAGCAGGGCAAGGTCTATGCCCAATCTCGCCCAGACTACCACCAGAGTCTCTACGATGCTGTTATGAATCAGCACACTTCTACTGGTGGTCAGTTAGATACCCTTGTCGACCTGGGCTGCGGGCCTGGTCAAGCTGTTCGTGCTCTTGCTCCTCGGTTCAAGACTGCCATTGGGCTAGATCCTTCGGTGTCAATGATCAGCGTCGCCCGAAGTTTGGGTGGAGATACCTCCACTTCAAAGCCCATTCGCTTCGAGGTTTCAACTGCCGAGGATCTGGGAGCAAATTTAGATCCAGCGATTGCCGATGAGAGTGTGGACCTCATTACTGTTGCCACTGCTGCCCATTGGTTCGACATGGACATATTCTGGCCCAAGGCTTCGCGAATCCTCAAGCCCGGTGGCAGCGTCGCCATCTGGGTCAATGGAGAAACTCGCATCCATCCTTCCGTCCCCAATGCGGCTGCTATACAGGCTGTCGTGACCCGATATCGTGCTGAGCACCTCGCTGGATTCATGCAAGCAGGTAATACCATGAGCCAGGACTGCTATGCCACTCTCCCACTCCCCTGGACGATCTCAAACCCCGTCCCTGAGTTCGAAGAATCTTCCTTCTTCCGTCGATATTGGAAGAGCGGGGATGAGTTCTTGAAGGCCCGAGTTAACCTCAACCTGGATGGCTTCGAAAAAATGCTCAGCACATTCAGCCCCATCACCAGGTGGCGAGAGGCTCACCCCAATGATGTGGGAACTGAGAACGACGTGGTCAGGAGGTTCCTCGGCGAGATCAAGCAGCTGCAGCATGAGGCTGGCGTGGAGCCCGGTGAGGAGTTGATTTCTCTCGATAGCACTGGCGTCCTCCTTGTTATCAAGAAGAAGTGGTAACTCCGCTTCTAAATATCACCTTTTAGTTCTATTCGTTTTTGAAATTTAGCTCTCCGTATGTTAGAAGAAAACTTGAAGAATTGTGGATAACAGGTTTCATTTGGTTATCCATTGTGAATGAGACACCATCAGTTCGTATTGCATGTCCGCCATACAACGCGTAACTATCAGTACATGACCGGAAGAGGGCCTCAAACTAAGGAATTCTATTAAATTTTGTGGATTTGATTCTTCACATAATTTATTCTTTGGAGCAGATGATCCCAGTCAAACCTTGTTTCAATTCGTTGCCCAAGCACCATGCAAGTTAGAACCTTACGATTTAGACTGTCGCCGACAAAGAGCACTGTCACAGAATAAATCTTCTTCATACTTCTCCTTCTTTCATCTCAAACATCCCTCATTCTTGGCGGGCTGCACCTCATGGATAACCGCGACATAAAAACCAGGTTTCTGATTATATCAGATACCCATGGTGAAGGCCTTCCCACAGACTTCAAGCCCGACTTTTCCGCCGATGTACTCATCCACTGTGGTGACTTGACAGATCAATCGAAATTACACGAGTTCGAGTCTACCCTCAAGCTGATCAGCAACATCAAAGCGTCTCTGAAGCTCGTGGTTCCCGGAAACCACGACTTCACGCTTGACAGGCAGGCTTACACCACACTTCTCCAAGATACCGATCTAGAGCCGAGACTAGTTGAGGAGACCTATGGAAATTATGGAAAAGTGGGAGATCTTTTCGCAGCATATCCGGACATTCGACTTCTAACGGAGGGCACCCACGAATTCCACCTAGGCAATGGGGCCCGTCTGCTGGTCTACTCCAGTCCATATACCCCCTCAGAGGGAAACATGGGATTTCAATATTCCCGAGCGGTAGGGCATACCTGGGACATAGGGGAAGCGGATGTTGTTATTACGCATGGTCCGCCAGAGGGGGTTCTCGATCGCACCCTCTCAAGAGAGCGGGCTGGGTGTTCTCAGTTGTTTGCCGCCGTGGCTCGCCAACGGCCAAAACTGCACTGCTTTGGGCACATTCATGAGGGATGGGGAGCTAAACTGGTTTATTGGAGGGAGAAGGCGTCAGAGCATCCGTCTCATTTTACCGACATTGATAACGAAAAGTCGACGTCCATTGAGAGTCTGCAGAGTCTTGCAGTTGGGAAATTCGACAATGAGAATACGGCCACTGCGAAGAAGAAAAGGCTGGAAGAATTCCTGTCCCGGGGATACTGTGATACTAGGGACGTGGCCAGCATTCAACAAGGGTCGGACACCCTGTTTGTAAATGCATCTATCCAATCTGCTACAGGGAATGAACCTCAATTGCCGTGGCTGATAGACATCAAGCTTCCACGCATTTGATTCTCTTCAACACTCTTGTTAATTCTAGCACTTGAGATCAGTATTCAGGAGGTGGAATATACTTGGCCATATATATATATATATATATATTGCTGGACGATTGGCGTAAGTTGGAAGCAAACGACTGGAATAAGACATGACTTACCCAAAGCCTCAAGCGCTAAACCTCGACACAATATCAAATTGATCAGCCTGGTAATAAACACAATATTAAGCTTAATGTCGTGAACGAAAATACTCTTTTCTTGTTGTTTTGTTTAGCACCATAGATTCAGAAGATGATTGGTTTCAATCGCTCACAATCACCGGGTGAGTTATGAATCTGACCCATGAGACAGGGTGATGGCTGACTTCAAATCTTCGGACCCGGATTCAAATCCTGGTTGGGGCGTACTGCTAAATGTGGCTGCCTTGCCTCAGCCTCACAGAGCTTACCAGGCTATTCGGCTCCGGTACCCCTTGTCTCCCCAGAACACTAGGCATGAAACATACTTCCAAGGCGTGGCTGCCATTGTAGACCTAAGGACATCAGTATCAACGGATCAACCCGTACAGCTACCAGAAATAGAGACATTCGACAAGAAACCAGATTGTCATTGGCTGATCATGCGATCATCAATGTCGGTTGACGGCCAACTGGCGCCTCTGGACTGGGCTAGGTAGCTACAAGGTAGTGTCTCACGGCTTATCTCACCTGTTTTCCATTCAGCATGCTTCAACTCCCAGCTTCAAACCGTAATCATCAATGGCTAGGCAACAGCAATATCCTGGGTCGCTTGTATCACCTTAAAAGGGGTAAACGACCTTAATGCAGCGTGCGCGACGATATTATTTCCATCAAAAATAAGTATTTAACTCACCCCGCGATCGCTTCCAGTTCTGCATGACATCCCCAAGCCAAAGCAGCGATTGAAAATGGAGACGCCATCACAAGCAGGAACACTCTTCATCCTACCAGACAATCGCGTGCTCTGTTACGGAGTCTACGGCGACCGCAACGCCGAAGCGACAGTCTTTTTCCACCATGGATTGCCCGGCAGTCTCGTTGAAGCCCTCGGGTACGATGAACCAGCCAAACGCCACGGCATCCGCGTCGTTGCCATTGAGCGGCCAGGCCTCGGTCGCTCGACCCATGACCCAAACCGCCGGCTCATCGACTGGCCGGCAGATCTACTGGCCATCGCCGACCATCTCAAAATCGATCGGTTCGCCGTCCTCGGGGTCTCGGGCGGTGGTCCCTACACGATCGCGTGTCTGCATCAGATCCCCAGGACTCGCTGTGTCGGGGGCGGTGTCGTGGCATCCATGTACCCTATGAAGCTGGGGATCGACGGCATGATACTCCAAAACCGCATCATGCTCGGTCTGGTGCCTTGGTCGCCGTGGCTGGTCGAGAAGGGGTTCGAGTACCTGTTTGGCTCGGCCGCGAGAGACGAGGAGCACCCAGAGAAGCTGGAGAAGATCTTCGACGACAGCTTTCAGAATAAGCCGGGGCCGGACCAAGAGTGCATCTACCACGACGGAGGGAGGACACGGTCGATGCTGATCGAGGATATGCGGCAAGCGTTGCGGTATGGGAGCAAAGGGTCAGCGTGGGAGGCCAAGATTGCAGCGAGCGATTGGGGGTTTCGCCTCGAGGATGTCAAGGTGGACCCTGGTCAGTTCGTCATTTGGCATGGCAGGTTGGATGTGAACGCTCCTGTCAGGATGGCTGAGAAAGCAGCCCAGTTGATACAGGGGGCTGAAGCAAGGATTTCGGAAGCGGATGGTCATGTGAGTATGACCGTGAGCAAATTGGATGAGGCAATGGAGACGATGAAGCAGATATTGTCCTGATAGCATCGATGGTGAGGGGTTTCGCGGAAAGGACAGTCCGAGACTGGTTTCGATTTATTTTGATCTTTTCATTTAGTTTGATTTTCCTAATTGGTCGGGCCTTCACTTGTGTAATACTTTTGTAAGTGAACCTTTGATATTGGCTCGACATAACGTATTTTTCACATCACAATCATCACCATTTCTAATGCGATGATAAGTAAAATGTCTCCCAACTCACCACAAACACACTAACATTACAAAACACCAGCATATGAGTAACTCCATTTTGTGAGGGTATTATTACAATCAACGATGTACAGTAGCTGTGTCTTCCTATTTCGTGATGCAATCTTAGGGTGTAGGGTAGCTACATGGTCGATAAGCGGTCTTCCACTTGATGTTCTCATCTTCCTCGCTTTTGGAACACAGGATGATTAATCTATAAAGGACTTTGGTTTGATTTGATCAATTTCCCAACATTTGCTGCGTCACAGTACCGAGGAGTTGAATCCTTACCCCGAGTTGAGGGCACTTTTGTGGCACCAACTTTGTCCACTAAGTGCCAGTGTTGCTGCTACCAAGCGGCTGAATCTGGCCCTCAACTAATAATTCCGATATCACTTTGCAATGTTTTGGTCTTTCTGGACAGGTCGACCTACAGCCAGATCATGGACCTAGCCGGAGCAGCACGCACAGCCATCTTGCTTCTCATCTTCTCCAGGTATCTGGACGATTTCCTGCTCGCTTACCGTATTCAGGAAAGGCGGGTGAGGCTGATGCCAATGGCCCACACACACGCAGGTGTCCCATTCTGCGTCGTTATTTATAGAAAAGGCAGTTCTGAGGGATAAACGAGGTAAAACAAGTCTGGGGTGCAGGGGGATTCCGTCTCAGAAGACTAGTATGTCACTCAATATAGAGTTATATTATGTTTATTCCCTAATTGCTCCCAAGTACCGCCTTGGCAGCATTGGGGGTGGGTATACATTTAGGCGATGTTGCATGAGAGCCAACGCTTAAGATGAATATTCGACACAGGAGGCCTTCCTTGAACACACACGAGACCAGTCCATCCATCCGCCAAAAGTCAGCATATCGGAAGTGCTTCAGTTTGGCCAAGATGAGAAGTGGTTTGCGTCAAAGTCAGGCGAATACGGGTCGAATGGGCGCCGTGAACACTAGCGAGCCTTTTGCTTAGCTCTGCTAATGCGAAGATCTTGACGCTGTTTGAAATAAAATGCCCCCAATCTTAGTGTGCTCGTAGCGTCACGTTCTGCTCATTCTCCCGTCTCATAGGCACGAGAACCTGTATGGTGTGCTGAAAGACTTAACTGTGTACAGTCATCTGGAGCAGATCCCTGGACGGACCAGCCACAAGTCATTTCTTATTCATCGACCAAAACAAAGTGAGGCCGTAAATCGCGATTGAGGGGTAAATTGTTGCAAGGGCTTAGAATGGCTGATTGCGCAAGCCGTGGGGCCACACACGAGTAAAAATAGGAGGCGGGCCAGATGGAGACGCCTGCAGATGCAGCTTACTTTATCAATCATGCATGTGGCACACCACCCGTCTGACCAAAGGACTTGGAATCTTTACGTGAAACAGGCAGGATGTCGACGTGGCGTGGAGCCGAGGAAGCCGCTGTGCTGTGCCTCAACAGCAGCCCAACCAGCTCAAGGCCAGCTGTGATGAGCACATACTGGGCTAGTATTTGTTGTTGGCTGACCCCGGGAGGCCGACAAAGGTAGCTCGAATCATCAAACAGGCCCCCGGAGGTGCTAAACCTTGTTGGCCTCCTGTTCTGTGCCGTTGGTCGGCAGCTGGGGCCATGTAGGATCGCGGCACGACTGAGCACCGGTGCCGACGCGCGCGCTCAAGCCAGCCAGCAAAGTCCCAAAAGTCTCCGCCAGTCTCCAAAATCTCATGATGTTTCGCGTTTCTTGCGCAAGCTCAATGGATGGGGATCCAATATGAGTCCAGCGTGTATTGGTTTGATCCCCTTTTTTCGGGGCCAGGCCGCGTAGGCAGACCGCAATCAAACGACCACTCTTAAAATACGCTCAGTGGCTATGACATCAAGCTTAGTGATGGCACCAGTGAAGAATCTCCATCTAAAAGAGCCCACTAATATTGCTTACAAGCTCGTGTTTAAGCCAATGGGCCTCTCGGTAGAAGAAGTAGACTTCGGTCCCGATTGCCGCGACCAAGCTTTCACTAAGACCTAAAGCCTTATTGCATTAGGGACTTTGGACAGTAAGCCAAGACTGGGATTTGCCTCCCCCAGGTGGACGCACCGCGCGCTGATTTGCGACGCCATGCTAGCAGTTGGGCTGGCCGGGGATCCCAATCCTTCACAGATGAGATGGGTGCTGATTTGGGTTCGGTTACAACTTACACGTTGATTAGTGGGCGGGACGCACGTATTACTCGGGATCTGCCACAGCGGCCCCCTGTTCGAGCAACGTGCGTTGCTGTAGGGCGGAGGCCTGGGCAGCTGGATGGGAAGCAAATCGCCACAGAACACCGAGAACAGCATCTGATTGCGTTGATTCTGGGAGAGTTGGGCGGCGAAATCAGCAGGAGAATACTCAATTCCGTCCTTCGATCCTGGCCGCAGCTCACGCACCATTTGGTTTGTCGAACTATCACAGAGTTGCTCCCATTGTCCTGGGTTCAGTGTTTCTTCTTGAACTTGATGGAGACTCCTTCAAGCTCGAACCCAACGGCCTCCAACAGCTCCTGCAGTAGTGCCAGAATAGTACGATCGGCATCTAAAAAAAGGCACACGACCATCCCCCAAAAACTCCTGCTGCAAGTGTGTCAGTGATGACCATCACATCATAGCATGGAACTGATGCCACAAATGGCAAATTACTCATATCTTTGCAGCTGAAACAGACCATGTCTGGTGTCGTCCACACGGAATGGAGGGTGGGTGACACTCCAAGTCAGAGTTGGAGCTGCCCCTCCGTAGTGCGTCCCGAGAAGGATTCTCGCGTCGATACCCCATAGTCTTGGTGTGTGTGAGAGAGAGCGAGAGCATCCGCAGCCTACACACCCTGGTATGTTATCATTTGGTGTTGGGTCGAATCTCTATATAAGATCAAGACATCTTCTCTCTGCTTCCTCTCGATCAATCCATCAATCCAATCCAAACAAACAACAAAGCGACAGTTCCTCTTTTCGAACTTTAGCTTTTCCTTTTTTTTCCTTTTTCCTTTTTCATCTTCGTCTCCTTTTTTTCTTTCGTCTCTTCGAATCCAGATACCAATATCAGCTTCCTACTTGCCAGCTTGTTTTATCCTTCCAAGTGTACAACATACCACATACCCAGATCTTTTACACACAAAAAGGCTAGATCTTCACAATGGTTTCCACCAAGCAACTCTCCCTAGCTGCGGCTGCAGCCCTTCTCTCCTTTTCCAACAAGGCCCTGGCCGAGTCCACCGAGGGCACTACCGACTTCGCCGTCCGTGCTGAGGGTGCCGATGGCGGTGCTGTCCAAGACTTTGTCCTCAGATCAGTCGACGAGGAGACCCTTCTTGCTCGCGATGTCGAGGAGCTCGAGGAGCGTGACGATGAGGAGCTAGAGGAGCGTGATGAGGATGAGCTCGATGAGCGTGACTTTGACGAGGAGCTCGAGGTCCGTCGCTACGGTGGCGGTGGTGGCCATGGAGGTGGTCACGGCCATGGCGGCGGTCGCCACGCTCGTGATCTTGATGAAGAGCTCGAGGTCCGTGGCCCCGGTGGTCGCCGTGGAGGTGGTGGCTTCGGCGGTCGTGGTGGCTTCGGCGGTCGTGGTGGCTTCGGCGGTCGTGGTGGCTTCGGCGGCCGAGGAGGTGGTCGTGGAGGTGGCCGTCACTCTCGTGATCTCGAAGATGAGCTCGAGGTCCGTGGTCCCGGTGGTCGTCGCGGCGGCGGTGGCTTTGGAGGCCGTGGTGGCTTCGGTGGTCGCGGTGGCCGTGGAGGTGGCCGTCACTCTCGTGATCTTGAGGAAGAGCTTGAGGTCCGTCGCTACGGTGGTGGTGGTGGTGGCCGTAGCCACGGCGGCGGTCGCCACACCCGTGATCTTGAGGATGAGCTCGAGGTCCGTGGCCCTGGTGGTCGTCGTGGAGGTGGTGGCTTTGGTGGCCGTGGAGGTGGCCGTGGTCACGGCGGTGGTCGCCACAGCCGTGACCTTGACGAGCTTGACGAGCGTGACTTCGACGAGGAGCTTGAAGTCCGCGGCCCCGGTGGTCGTCGCGGTGGCGGTGGCTTTGGAGGCCGTGGTGGATTTGGCGGCCGAGGAGGTGGCCGTGGAGGTGGTCGTCACTCTCGTGATCTTGAAGATGAGCTTGAGGTCCGTGGTCCCGGCGGTCGCCGCGGTGGCGGTGGCTTCGGTGGACGCGGCGGTGGTCGTGGCCATGGTGGTGGCCGTCACTCCCGTGATCTCGACGAGCTCGATGAGCGTGACTTCGACGAGGAGCTTGAGGTTCGTGGCCCTGGCGGTCGTCGCGGCGGCGGCGGCTTCGGCGGCCGTGGAGGTGGTCGTGGCCATGGTGGTGGCCGTCACGGCCGTGACATCGATGAGCGTGACTTTGATGAGGAGCTCGAGGTCCGTCGCTACGCCGGCGGTGGTGGCCACGGAGGTGGTCATGGCCATGGCGGCGGTCGCCACGCTCGTGACCTTTACGAGCTCGAGGAGCGCGACTTCGACGAGGAGCTTGATATCCGTGACCTTCTTGAGCCTGAGCTCGAGACTCGCGGCCGCAAGCGCAAGGGTAGAAAGGGCAAGGGCAAGAAGCGTGGTGGTCGCCGCCACAAGAAGCCCGCTGCCGAGGCTACTGAGTCCTCGGAGTAAGATGTTTGCCTTCGTGTGAGCTTCACTTTGAGGCCCAGGTGGCCAAAGCCCCTATTTCTCATCAAAAGATGATTCTGGGATGTGGGAGCTGAACTGTACTATCAGCAATTATTTGGATTCAAGTGCTTCTTGGGAAATATATGTGCGCCATCTCAGCACGGCAATGCTGCCTTGGCGATGGTTTATGATTAAGTGTTATTGTGTTGCGCCTTTATGAGCCATTCAGGCCTTTTGCTTCATGGATTATCTAAGAAACTGAAAAATATACTCTTTTTATGAGATACACTTTGGTTCCAGTGCTGCTAAATGGTGAATTTTATCGATAAGTAGTTGACCTTTGTCTAATAGCAACAGGTATTTGCTTGTAGTAGAAGTTATTTCGTGTGTGTTTACTCTCTTATAACGTTGGGTTCGAATATACCACCGATAACCCCTTTTTCTACGAAGTCCGCACTATGACACTAGTCCGTTGCGATAAGAAATTTCAGTGGCTGAAAGAATACAGCTTTGCTTGCATTTCAAATTATGATGAACACCTTATTGCTAAGGGTCTTAACTAGCTCTGTAATAAATCGACCTTAACTGATGGTTGTCAATGTATTCACAACAGGTTATAAATTCAAGTAGAACATTCAAGTCTTATTTATACTAGTACTGCGTTTTGAGAGCTTTATAAAAGAGGTGAAAAATGCAATCCAGACACAAGCGCAAATCTTTTCAGCAACCAACCCAGTGAGTACCAGTAGCCCCTTAGCCAGAGCACTAGCACTAACACACCCGCAGCCATCAACACATACATCATGACAAGGAACGAGATCTCGGTGCCTTCCCTTGAAGGTAACAAGACGAATATCACAAAGCCTAGAGTCAGCCTTAGCAACCACAAGCTTGCTGGCTTTGCGAAAGCTATCAAAGCTGATGAGGTTGATAAGTTAGATCAACCTAAACTGAATAGCCTCTCTAAAGAGCAGGTTAAAGCCCTGTATTACTTCGGGGAGGATATCCATGGGCACAGGATCTTAACCTGCTCTTTAGAGAAGTTATTCACAAGGATATCCTCCCCGAAGTAATACAGGGCTTTAACCTGCTCTTTAGAGAGGCTATTCAACTTAGGTTGGTTGATCTAGTTCATCAACCTCATCAGCTTTAATAGCTTTTGCAAAGCCAGCAAGCTTGTGGTTGATAGAAGATAAGTGTACGAAGGAAGCTGGGTAACGAGGGCAGCTTTTATAGTCATTTGACGCGCAGCTCGTCCTGACGGCAAGTGAGTCATCGGCATGAAGGTTTAAAGAATTATCTGCCGTATGACTGCAGGCTTGGGCTAGCAAAGCTTCCTTCATTAACCTTTCGTATTCATTGTATTGAGTTTGTTGGGTCTGACATCTTCTTTGTTTTAACGTTCAAGCCACATCTCCTCCGGCTGGCCGGCGAAAAATGCAAAAATGATCCAAACTTGGAACACGCATGCAACCACCTGGTCTAGTTGATATCACCACATCCGCGCCGTAAACCAGCTAAAGTGCGGCACACCGGGCTCTTACCTTTCTAATAGGCTTGTGATAAGATTGATAAAATTACTTTTAATGTGTTCCTAAGACAAAATTGCATTTAATTGATGAAATTGCTTTTGATGTGTTCTAGTTTTTTTTTTTGTTTTTTTTTTTTTGAAAAATATTCTAAGCGTTCAAACCTCTCGTCCCGCATGACTTTCTCTCGGATAATCCCATGTGGAGAGGATGAGCATGCGGTGCGTGGCAAAAGAGATGTATATGCCTATAGGCCGATTCGTTCCCGGTCCTTAGACTACGAAGCTCAAATCGAGCTCAATGGAGTGATTATTGAGCAGGCTATTCAATAACCTCATTGGAAGACTTGTCTCAGGCCTTGGCTGAAAATAGAAATTTTTGAGATTCTAGTCACTTCTCGGCAAGCGATGACTTCACTGTTGTCCTGAGCGTTTGATCCTAGAACAAAAATTCTCTTCGGCATATTTGACAACAAGATTTCCCATATTCAGTACAACAAGTGTTTCTTCGACCCTGTGCCTCAGGAGAGAAAATCCACTCTCCAGTTCCACGCCCAAGCGTCAATCATGTCAAAATATAAGAGCAGGGGAATTAGATCAATAACGGAGCATCTCAGAAAAGCCGGTCTCTACCGTTGCAAGAGAGCTAAGAATGCAGATACGATTTTGGGTCTATCCCAAAGGATGTAGGCTGGGCAATGAACATGGGCGAACAGCCATCAGCGCGCTCTTTCTCCACACTACTCTTAGACCTTAAAGTGTAGGAGACGTATCAATCATGTATCTCTCGAAATCGGGCCGCGCAAGGATAGGTGACAATCAAAACCAGAGGAGGATAAAATGAGTAGTAGACAATCGCACAGAGGGCAGCTGGTCAGCGACTAGTGTAAGAACCTGACATAAAGCACCGGAAGGAGGAACTACGATAAAGACGTAAAGAAAAACTACTGTATATTTTGTATTGAGATTATGCGGCAATGTATTGTACGTGTTGTTGGCAGGTAGGTTGTAAAAAGCAAATCAAGTGATTCCTCCGCTCACGCCAGTCCTAAGATTCTATCCCAAAATTCACATCTCGTCGGCTGGATCCTCTTGGCAGATCCCTCGCCTAGAAAATTGTATACTTCCAAGGACACTTACCTTCCGGTCGAACATTTCGATTACGACAATGGGTCTCACTGACTCACCAGGAGGCAAACATTATGCATCCGCATACTGCGAAGACGAATAAACAACCATCCAAGTATGGTTCTCTTCACAGGTACAGTAGGTCATCTTATTTCTTTGAACAAAGTCATGATCTACTCTTCCAAAATGCCACTGCTCACTATGGGAAATAACGCTCCTGACGATACGAGCTGAAAACGACGGTTGGCTGTCACTGGACCTGCCTAGAGGCATAAGATTGGGGATTAATAATGAATCACAAACGTGCGAATTGATGAATAAACACACGGGCCACATCTTCCCTGTTTGCGTAGTGACTTGTCTCGCTTAAGCATGGGCTCGGAAACAGACATAAGAATCGGAGCAAATTGCGAGGTTCCACACGAATTTGGGGAACGCACGCCCAAGACACCGACCCCAGTCGACCGTTCCCTTGCAACATGGCCTTAGATCACGACATCGATCATTACGTATTACCATTGTTGATCGATCCATCACTGGCTAGTGGTTGGTTGGCTAAAGAATGTCAAAGACAAAGAATGCACGCTTTTGATTTTTGTTATCGCTACCTAGTAAATGGAAATAGAGACCGTAGCATCTCGATTATGACTTGATATTTTAAACCCATTGAAATGCACAGAAAAACGAAGAGCATTGCGTGTACATCGAACCAATACAAGAATCACACAAGAAGCCTATTCCTTTACGGGAGGCTACAAAAACAAAGCCCGGCTTGATGGTCTTACGCGGAAGCCTTGCTGTAGAGGCCCTCGACCTTGGCCGCGAGGAGCTTTCTGATCTGCTCAGGGGTCTTGCCGTTGACCTGGTTGAAGCCGTTGCGGTTATAAGGGAAAAGGAGCATGTTGTCGTCGCTCTTGATGAAGTCGTCGGTCGAGAGGTTGCCGCTCGCCATGATGATATCAACCTCGTGGCGGATCTGGTCGCAGTAGATATCGAGTGGCAGATCATTGACGTCGTCTCCGAAAGGATTCTCAATCTCGCGGCCGATCAGAGCCAGACCGAGGATAATGTAGGCCGCAAAGATAGTAGCAGGGATGGTGACCCATTTAAGTTTCGTCCAGAGCTGGAATGGGAGAACAAGAATATAGACCCAGGTGATTTGAGAGATGGCGATGGAGTAGGCAATAGGCAAGGGGGTGTTCAGAACTCGGTCCGTTCCGGTGAGGATGTCATTCAGGATGGCGATGGAGTTGAGAGCATGTGTTTGGTAGATTGGGGCCTTGAAGGTACCATTGTCGATGATGTTGCGAACATAGGTTGAGGAGTAGTTCAGAATCTCCAATGGCACGTTGCCCAGGGGCTTCTCCGACTTCTTGATCAGCTTGCGAGGGTTCGACTCGGCCATTGGGAGACCTAGACGGCTACCAATTCGCTTGAACGTTGAGGGCTTGGTCCACTCAATGTTGTCAGCGCGGTGGGCGACGCAGTGAATATGCTTCAGACGGGGCTCCAGGTCTTCGTAGTGTGTGAAAGGCTCGAAGCGCAGTCTGTGCTTCAGGGCGATGGCGAAGGTGACAAGCATGTTGCAGAACGAAACCTTGGCAAGGAGATCCTCGGTCTTGTGATCCTCGCGCTCAGCAGCGTACACCCAGACCACACGGGCCAGGTTCTGGGTGTGGAGGGAGAGCATAGCCCAGTATTTGCGACCTTCGGCGTATCGTTCGTAGGCTGTAGAGTTGCGGAATGAGAGGGAGAGACCGACGACGAAACCGAGAATGGTCAGAAGCACCGAGTCGACACCAACTGCAAAGGACTGTTAGCTATGCGGTCGTAGCGCCGATGGACGAAGGAGAAGGGCAACTTACGGCTCCACACGAAGTGCGAGATGCAGCAGATAGCTGTCGCCCATGCAGCGACAAAGGTCAAGGGGAACATCATTCGGGGGGTAACGCTGCCGTGAAGCTGCAGGAAGATGGGCCATTTCGAATGATGGGACATGTCGCGGGGACCATTCTGCAAGACAAGAAGGTTAGGGAGGACATCTAAGACAGTGAGATACTGCAGGCAAGGTCTCGTACGAAATAATCATCGGAATCTTTCGAATCAGTGCTGAGCCTGGGGCTCACGTCGGCCGGCGCAGGCTGCTGCTCTGTGTCTTTTTCGGCCATGGCGGCGATCGGAGAGGTTTGGTAATTAGGTGAGAGAATTGACGGCGATTTGGTATGAAAACTGGATGGGATAAAGAGCGTCAGAAGGAAAAGAACAAGACCAACTCGATCACGAACTCCTGGTTCACGGTGGAGACTGGGAAGAAAGATGGGAGCCAAGAATTCACCCCAGATCGTCGTGTATTTAAGCAGACGGGAGAGCACAAGCTAAATGCCAGAACCCTGAAACACGAATTGGCTGCCTCCCTCAGGGGAAACTGCGCCAAACAAGGAGCTGACCAACGGCTGCTGTCTCATGCAGTGATACGGGGCCTTGAGACTCAAAACACCAATCACCCATCTGAAATCATGTGCTTGGCGCCGGGCCCCTGGTCTGGGTGGAGCGGGAGCCAAGAGCTATTTTGAGGAACATGCCATTGTTCTCACGTCTTTGGCAGGATGTCACCTAGGCGGATCTTCACAGTCAAGCCAGTGACCAGTCCTTTGTTCCCACGTATTTGTCTGTGGGTAGGGCGAGGCGATCACGGAGTGGTTGGAAGCACATCACCCATCCAGCCTCTATTAGATCGTCCCATGTTGCTCATTTCATCAAGAACCATAACAGCGGAAAGTGGGAGCTTGCTCTAGCCCCTGACCATGCGAACCAGGACGGTGCCTGAAATATTAAGGCCGCGGCCCAGAACCGCGCCGCCTTTGATGGCTGTTTGAACCAGGGGCTGGACATAAGCTTAGCCTATGAACAACGCACAACCAACACACCTGCAGTCAGCTGAGATGGAGCCGGTGGGACTCACCTAAGAAAAAAAATTACCAACAAAACAACACACCACAACAGGATCACCGAAAATATACATAGTATGCTCTTCGGGAAGCCGCGTGGTGGCTTACACTCTTCCCGCCCGTTGTTTCAACGTGCCACTGATTGAGTGAAGGCTTTTACAGAGTACAAAACCAGAAATGACTAAAATGAAACTTGTTCAAGCCATGTGGGACGGCGGAGCTCACAGTGAGCATCGCTTCTGAGTCAAGTAATCTTGTTGGTGCCGCCACATTCCGTAGCTCCCCACCTGAGTGATGAACACGCGTGGATCAGGGATTGGATGAACGAATTATGAATTTCCATGGACAATTCAGCCTTATTTGTTCCAATTATACATGGTCTAGCGAGTCGAGGCCTAATTGAATCAGAGTCGTCCCACTGTCACAGGCGGCCTCCCTCGAGCATCACAGACCAACCAACACCACAGGTGTGGTCAAACAAAGACATGCAGTCCGGTGACACATTAACTTTGACAGCATCTACAGTTCGAAAATCGCGTAGTATTTTCCGACTCAATTTTTTAGATGTTATGCAACAGCGCGTTACAAGTTAACAGACTGTAAACCATCTCGGAACCTTGGTTTAGTATTGCACACCTTTGACGGCCAAGTGAAATCGTATGTTTGTCCATGAGTTAAACCCGTCTGGCTGAGTTTATTCGGGGTTTTTACTCAATAGTATCTCTTAACTTGATGAGGTCTAACTATTTGATGAGTACTGTGCACCAGGTCGCTTTGTTGGACACCTCAAACCTTTAAGTAGGTAGGGGTAAATGTGTGTTCCATAACATACAGGGTAGGATGCTTTACTTGTAATGTGAGCGGCATTGTTCAGGGAGAGGAGTTGCTGAAGGCAGTCACTTTAGAAGAAAGCAATGTTGTCCTTGTATGGTGTTTTACAACAACAAAGTACCAGTAAATCAGTTACTACACAATTATGTATTTTCTACATATGTTATCTTCCATCTTCTCCTCGTGCCTCTCGCAGCATCACTCTTGCTTTGCTCTTCATCATCACTTTTCGAACCTTGGCTTCCAACTCAGACCACATCTTCAAGCCGCTTTCCACCATGTCTCGGTCTCTGATACCAGCTCTATTCAAGCGAGCAGATCCTCCGATAGAGATCTCAGAGGAGGGTCGACCATTCACCATCGAGATCGAGATTCGAACAAAAGATCACTCGCCTCGTCAAGTATATGCTGTTCTCGACACCGGTTGCCCAGTAGATCTAGTAAGTCTCTGGTTTGCCCGGAAGCATCTGCTTAAAAGAGGTGAGGATGGAAAAGATAAGGGTGAAGGAGATAAGGGTAAAGGAGTTGAGGGTGAAGAGGATGAGGATGAGAAGCGCCGGGAGATAGATGGAGTCAAGGTTCCCGGGGCTAAACTCATAAGCTCTGGCGAGTGGTGCGTCCGACTCAAAACCAGATGCAGTCTAGGTGAAACAATCAGGTTTAAAAGTGTCTGCGCAGGGATCGAACGAGACCCTCGATTGCCCCCAGTTGTCATCGGCATGGCAACTCTCAAAGCTCAGCAATTCCTCCTGGTCCCTCGACTCCAGGCCTGGTGGCGGCCATGCAGGCCCCCCCTTACTATCGGGAAACGACCTGAGGCAGTCCCGAGTGACCTTTTTGCACCGGAGAATTCCTTCTTCGATGGGAAAGAAAGGATGCCCTTACGGGTCATTTTTGATACAGGCACCGTCATGGATGGTGTTTGTATCAAGTTTGCAAAGAAACATTTGAGGAAGGTCACTGCGCCAGAGTGCACCTGGATCGATGTTGAAGGCGAAGAGCAGACCTGCGAAGGACTTTGGGAGCTGCCTCTTTGCCTCACAAGTAAAGATGATAAGCAGAGATCATTTTCTGTTCTGTGCTGGGGTATGGACCTTGGTGAACCATACTCCGGGGGTCATCATAGCGTGCGGCTTTCCAAAACAACGCTCGCCGAGCAGAATATTCATCTCGACTGTGGGCCCTTGAGCTTCACCTTTGAGAAGACAACTGCGCAAACTCTAAAGAATTGGGGCAAAAAGGTTATAGACGGGACGAAATCTCTGAACCACAAGTTGAGAGAGCACAAGATGCCCAAGACTGACGAGAAATGACCTTTTGGATGCGATGAAGGGAACGGCCGGGAGAATGATGCCTGTTCATAAGATATCCACAGAACAGAGCGCAGGGCTCTGAATCAAGCGGCACATTTGGTCAGAATTTTGGCGTGGCAAAAGAAATTGAAAGGGAAAAGCAATTGTAACAGCCTTAGTCGTGGCTGTTAGATTTTACAGAGCAAATTGAGAACAAAAAATTTCAACTGAGATGAAGGTCAAAAGCATAGACACATCGTTTTTTATTTGTCATTGATTTTGCTCAATGGCTTGTGATTTTGAAATGAGGTAACCTCCCCAACTGTGATTTCTTGTTCTCTCGTAAATCTAACGCTACTCTAAATCCGAATGCGCCTGGGCGCAAGAAGAGAATCCGGCAAGACGAAACACCACCATCATGCCTATCAGAATCCAACCTTACACGTTGATGTTGAGCGCCACGGCGGCGTTCTGGGTCGAGTTTCCGTAGAAGATCTCGGTACCGCAGCTGGCCGCGTTCAGGTACTCGTCGCTCTTGGCAAAGCCCTTGGTGACCATGGCGTCGAGCCAGGTCTTGAGGTCGATGTAGAGCTCGCTCTCCACGGGGACGTCGGGGACCAGGCTGCGGACGGTCTGGTTGGTGGTCGCGCGAGTGCCCTCGTAGACGCTCCATTTTGTGCCGTAGAGCTCGTCCACGGTAGCAGCGGGAGTCTCGGACCAGCCGATAGGACGCTGCTCATCCCAGGTGTGAAGGTACAGGACGAACTCGTTGACTACGTCTCCTTCAAGGGCGTTCTCGATAGAAGATGTCTTGACGTTGATGACGTTGGATCCTAGAAGTAAAAATTAGCAATCGCGGGATATTTCATTGTTTAAATAGAATGGTTTCTTACCCTTGAAGCCATCACCAATGGTCCTGTTCCACCTGAAGAAGGTCGGGATGCTCTTGATCTCAGTGAGGTGGTGGGTACCGTTCAAGCTTGCCTCGATGTTGGAGTAACCCTTCATGACGTCGGCAGTATCATCGATCTTCTTGATATCAGTGATACTGGTCCAGTTGACGAGGTATGTGCCGTTGGACACGACCACGCGGTTGAAGTTTGTGCACTGGGTTCCGTTCATCTTCTCGCTGTTGTACATGTCGTTGGTCACGGACCATGGCATGCCTGGCAGGTCGAGCTGGTCATTGTTGTCACACTGACGGATCTCGGGAATGATGATGTCGATTCCAGTAGCACCCTCGAATGGAGAGGACGAGGTCTTAGTAGCAGAAGTCGCGGCTGTACTGGAAGCGGAAGGCTCTTGGGCCGGGAGGCTGCTGGAGGAGGCAGGAGTGGAAGCAGGAGTGGAAACGGCGGTGGTGGTGGGAGTCTGAGGCAAGTCACTGATGGGGCAGACCGTGGTGGAGATGGGGATGGTCTCGGTCACGAAGATGGTTGAGCCAGCTCCGCTTGTGCAACCCTCAGTACCGCTGCCGCAGTCAGTCACTGTGCGGATAGAGGTGGTGAAGATGGTGGAGGTGGTCAGGCTCTCGGGTGGTAGAGAGCTGGAAGCAGTGATGACAGCTGAGGATGCCGGGGTAGTAGCATCAGCAGTTCCGGTGGTCACTACTGTGGAGACGGGGATGGTCTCAGTAACAACTGCGGTGCCGTTTCCGGGGCAGTTTGTCACCTCAGAGCCACAGCTTGTGATGGTTCGGATAGTGGTGGTGAAGATTGTTGAGGTCACATCGCCAACTGGGGGACCGGTGATGGAACCCTGCTCTCCTCCTCCAGTTGAGGTAGATCCAATGGGGTTCGCGGAAGACTCGTAGGAGGTTGGAGTCGCGACAGGAGTGGACACGACCGACGAGACCAACGACGAGGGGATCACCGTGGTGGAGTAGGGACGGCTCTCTGTTATGGTGGTGGCTGGGCAGTTGGTCACCTCAGCGCCGCAGCTGGTGACAGTGCGGATCTCAGTGGTGTAGAGGGTAGATGTCACATCACCCACAGGTGGGACGGTGGTTGAACCACCCTGTGCACCACTGGTGGTAGATCCGATCGGCCAGGCGGAGGAATCATATCCAGTAGAGCCGGGAGTGGTCTGGCTGAGGACAGTAGTAGAGACTGGGATGGTTTCGGTGCTAAGACTTGTGGAATCAGCTGGGCAGCTGGTGACTTCAGGGCCGCAGTGTGTAACAGTGTGAATGGAGGTTGTGAAGATGGTGGAGGTGATATCACCACCGGCGGGTGGCTTGGTTCCAGGAGTTGTGAGAGATCCTCCTGATGTGGTTGCTGATCCGGGAACGGTAGTGGTTGCGCCGCTCTCGGTTCCAGTGACAATGCTGGAGCCGCCAGTAGCATCTGCAGTGCCGGTGGTAGAGACAGAGCCGAATCCAGTCGACTGAGTTGATGTGGCAATGGAAGAGTTTCCGGAGGCGGAGGAAGAGAAAGAGGCGGATCCGGTGGGGATCTCGGTGATGGGGCAGACGGTGGTAGCAATGGGGATGGTTTCCGTCACAAGAACTGTTGAGCCTCCAGGGCAGTTGGTCACTTCGGGACCACAGTTGGTGACGGTTTTGATGGAAGTCGTGAAGATCGTGGACGTCGTGAGGCTCTCAGGAGGGAGAGATCCCGGTGTCGTGATGGTTGCAGGAGGGGTGGTTGGGGCGTTGGATGACAGGACCGAGCTGCCAATGATCAACCCCGAGGTTGTTGTCAAGCCTTCAGAGAAGGAAGCCGTCTGCTGGGCCGAAGAGGAGCTAGGAATCACTTGACCGGGCGTGCCAGTCACGGTGAACCATTCAGTGACGGTGACGAGGCCGCAGGTCTTGGACTTGGGCTTGCAAGACTTGGTGCATGCTGCCTGGGCGGCCAGCGGCCCCAGGAGGAGTGCGGAAACAAACGAGTGGCGCATGGTCAAATCAATTGACTCTGGATGAAAAGAAACGAACGTGAACTGAACTGAACTGAAGCAAAAGAGCGTTGCCTGCACGAATGAGTGTAGAAAGGAAAGAAAACCCTTGCGAGTTGAGGTCTCTAGATTCCATCATCCAGAGGCATCAGAGCCAGTTAATATCTGTTTGCAACCATCCCGCCACCACCACTTAGACGTCGTACGTACCACCTCCCTGGACCGTAGAAAGTGCGGTATGCATAAAGTCGCAGCGTTTCAATTGCAAATTGCACAGGCCCTTGCGGTGGAACCCGCCCCCTGCCTCGGATCATTTGACGTTTCGGTTCGCCCGGTCCTTGGCTTCTTGGTGAAGAACATGTGTTTCATTGCCCAAAGCGAAACGTCCGAGTGAGACCCTGGCAGTGGCTGTGCCTTCGGCATTCGTTTTTGGTTGTCCCAAAACTGACGTTGCCCTGAATTGGGTGATTGATCAAGAATCACGACTGACAATAGCACCACAGTCAATATGAGGAGTAGGGGTTCAGCAGGATTGATCAGGATACTCGCTTGCAGACTCATCAATTAATTTGATATTCCTCGCTATCAAAGTTTTATACTATTTAATTCTGCCTCGGCAATATCTGAGCCTTCGGCAATGCCCGGTCATAAGCAGATGTGCAGTGGTGATGAAGTTTGTGTGGACAACAGGGATGACTCCAACCGCCCATTTTGCTCCAAACGTTATTCTCGAGTCCGTTCATCTTCCCAATCGTGCGAGTAAGCGCTGGGAGCATAGAGAGAATTCTCCCATGTGACGTAGATTCGTAAGTCCGCATCGGGGAGCCCCTCCTTCATTGCCTTGTTCATGCGTTTTGCTGCAACTGATCTTGAAACCTCCCCTGGGCCTTTGAGCTGAACTAACACGCAACCAGGATGTGGAATAGTGTTTCGGGGCCCCATCGCACCTCGGGGATGATTAAAGGGACCGCCCATCGACGTTTAACAATGATGTCTGGATCACAATCTGTCTGATAATCACGCTGTCAGCGGTGAAAGTCGTAACCCGTGCCAAGCTCCATCTCAGTGGGCCGACACTAGTTGTCGTATAATCCTCGCTGCTTCTTGATTCAGCCGTGGACATGGCCCATCACCACGGCAGTCTCGGACAAGGAGATCGATACCCCAGACTGTCATCGCCGGCGCTTCAGCTGTCAAAGTACACCTTGCTGCATATCATGTCCTCGCCAATTTTAACACGACGACTCCGCCACTGCCACAATGCCACGGAACTTGCTCAACAGCCTGTCCCATGTAAACTACTCTGCCTAACACCGTGCGCTCTGACTGGGACAGCAACACTTGAGAGCTGATCAGTCATGACTTCGAAAAGTGGCGACCGCGCGGGGCAAACTCATGCAATTCTTTCCGATTTTGTAAACTAGTAAAGAGACTCAAAACAACCGACGATTTGCAGCTAGGGTTGGGTGAGATCGATAGGCACAATGCCCACTTTGGGGCTCAAAGAGGGAGGCGGCAATTCATGCCTCCTGTGCTACCATAGGCTCCCCCTAAAAGGATAAAATCCCTTTCATTCCCTGCTCCTGGCCTTTAGTTGATGGTGAATAAGGCCTTGTAACACCGAGGCAGGGATCCAGGTTGCCAAGCCTGGTTCCTCACGATTGGGTTTCAGGTGTTGAGGATTTTACGTTGCCCTTTTCCCGGGCCTACTACCCAACCTTCTCAACACCCACGCCACTCTGCGGACCCTGCCCGGGTCACTCTGGTGATGAGGTCAAGATTTTTCATCATAAGCCTACTGGAGGTTAAGAGGTCCATTATCAGCGAAATTACAGAGGGCTTTTTCTTTCCAATACGAGAGAGTTTGAGTATAAAGTTAAACAGCAATGGAAGATGCCAGAACCCGACAACTCAACACGATAAATAATTTTCTTTCCAATGGAGCGTCACTAAAAGCCGATGGATTGGCCATCACAAGGGCTTTCTAACAGAATGGTTTGTGTACAATGCGCTGCTCCAAATAATCTAATCAACGCCAATATCATCTCCAAAAATCCTCTCGGGTGGACGCTCTTTCATACAAACTTCGAACTCCCCCTCGCCGCTTGTTTCCCAGATGAACATGATGCCCCCAGCAGTCATATATATTTGCCCTCCAGATATCGCTAACAGGGGAAACTTCGCCCCCGAAATCTTTCCATGCCGATACCTCGGCCACAGAAGCACTCTGGAACTTGACAGTAAAGTCTGTAGGGCAGGATCCACAACTCCCATGGACTGTGATGCCTTGGTCCTCAAATGCCATGTCAATCGCGTTCTTCAAGGTTTTAGTCACGCGAAAGGATTTTCCGAAGCCAAGATGGTTGCATATGGGAACATTAAACCCCATGATGGCGGGTGAAAGTATGGCGTCTCCCGTATCGAACGTCCACGTAGATTTGAGAATAAACCTCCCCTGGACGACCTTCGGAGCTGCGTGAAGGTGTCCTCGCACGGCAGTCTTAAGTCCAGGGAATGTGGGCGTGCCATCGTAGGGGGTGAGCAGGCGCCTGAGGCGTTCCCTGCACTCGCTAGATTTTGGTGATAGTCTGTCGTATTTCAACGACAGTTGAACGTGGCGGTAGCCGTCGCTGCAATAGCTGCTGTCCCAGAGTGGCACCAAACTCTCGTGCCCGCCGTTCTTATAGGCGAAGGATTCCCACCACTCCTCTCTGAGATCAGCCTCCGTGACCGTGTGTAGCTGTCCACAGTATGCACAGACCCAACTTCCGGTGTCGTTGTGTGATAGGCAGCGTAAATAATCGAACGCCTCGTCGTCCGGGAGCTCACAGGTGGGCAGTGATTTGCCATAGGTGATATCACTCAGACTACGGCAGGTCTGCCCCAGGATGGACTTCTCATGGGGACGTAGAATATCCAATACCATGAATAACAACTCGACTGGTAGCTGAAGAAGAGGGGATGTCTGAAAGCCGTCGTGCTTTGTTACCCCAGATGTGGGGCCCTGGTCGTCAGGCTGAAGGCTTGTAGACATCTCAGCATCCATGATGTCGGCTTGACCAGAATAGATGTTTTTTCTGTTATGAATAACGGGAGCAGATATAGCCGAAGGTGATTGAAGGAATAAAGCGTATGGATAGAGAATGAAGATTCAAATAATAATGTCAAGAGTTGCCAGCAAACGCCGGATATCTATCACTGTATCTGGTGTGATAAAGAAGGCAGCTGTAGATATGTGAAGTAGAATAGCCAATATTGGAATAGTGAAAAGATGAGAAAAACTTGGAAAGAAAAGCGAGAGACAGCGCACCTAAATAGGGTACAATTCTACAAGTCTTCGAAGCGAATCTTCTGGATCAGTCTTAGTGTTTTACTCTGAGAACTGAGTCTGCGTCTAAGGAAGCAAAATTTGAAGCCTAGAACTCAAAGGAGAAACCTACTCCCTCTACTGCGCTCACAGAGCTTTTGAAGATTCATTATACCTGGAACTTGGCGCCTCTGTCCATGTCAGAAAGCCGTCCCCTCACTGTCAACTTAATCCGTCGTTGCGTCTCCCCCCTTCCATGATTTCCCAGTCTCCGACAGAACTTCTAATAAAGTCATAAGCATAGAACTACCACCTGCAATGTTGTGAATCCGGATTTTTTTTTTAAAGACCTGTGACCTCTTAGTCCCAGCTTTGTCAGGCATTGCCAAATAAACTTCACGCCATGAGTCAGGTTTGCCAGGGCAAGAGAGCCTCAACATATAGTTTAAAGTAACCTGGTAAAAGGCTACAAAATGTAGTAAAAAGCGGATTTTAAGATTTCTATGTGGGCATTTGCTATATCCGCTATTCTACGTCTTGCCAGAGACTATGTAGGATTGTACTTGGCACAGGCATGAGTATACTGCAACAACTGCATGCTGGTGATTCCAAAGGGAACAAGAGGTGAAGCAGGAGAATGACAATCCAAGATCTAATTTTTTTTCCGCCTTCAATATTAACTACGGCTCGCCCCGGAAAGCTCTGTTGTCGGGCGGCAAGAGTCGAACCCTAAATTCAAATCATATGAGCCTCCCTAGTTTTATGTATGCATTGTGCTGGTGCCCGGGCCGGGCCTTGCCGTACTGCTCTGTGTTCTTATTACGGAGTATACCAGACAGAGCTCTACTGCCCCCCTTTATTACCTCATCTTAACCACCCAGTGTTCGAAGGTAGAATGACACACTACTAATTGGGTCACCAACTGGCAGTCTGTTCTTGGGCAGTCGGCAGCGGTGGTGGCTGAGGGATCTCCATAGATGCGTAGCAGAAGTTCACTTCACTCCTTTTCCCATGTCGCGTGCTCCAATATCCTGTGACTCAGGTCTTCACCTTTTCCATCCTACTCAAAGCTAAAATCGCGAGCTGATTCTTCCAACTCTGCCTTGCAGAACAACCCCGCAAAGTCACGCTCGATGTCTTATACTCAAAACTAACTTGGTCTCGATCCTAGCTACTATACTATACTCACTAGAATCGGAGGAAACATAGTAAAACACTAGGTGAGACGCCACCGGCAGTACCTCAACTTCCCTTGCAGGGATGACGACCATCTACGCCTTCTAGATGGGAGCATCGACGTTACTTGTCTCGGACACATTTAATGAGGCCGTGGAGGAGTGCTTTTCAGCATCTTTATCAGCCCCGTCGGTCTCGTAAGCATGGTATAGCGCATGATCTTGTATACAGGTGTTTTTCGGCCGCCGAGACCATCGTGGTATACTTTTCCCACTCCAAACTGTCTGGTTTTGTCGCTTGAAGGCGCTGCAAAGAGTTTGATAGGGCGAATCTTACCATTGCTAAAGGCGATCTATAGCACCAGACAAATAGCAAGTTATCGAAAACACCCACAGCACAAGGTGCGAATCATCGGCGTTATTCCTTAGATAATAAAATAGGCAAATAGCTGTAGGTACATGCAGCGTATGCTGATAATACCTCTCTCAGTATTTTTCTTCGTACTAGTAGGATATGTATTGAATAAGAAATAATTTTACAACTTCCAAGAAAAGCGAATGAATTATATCTCAGTCTTGGGTTTCATTGTCGTCGCCGACATGATTCCCAATCCGTGGGTAGGATGATGCCATCCCGCATGCCTTTCCCCTTTTTGCAGCAATGCTGGATTGGATCACTCCTAGAATGATCCAAATTTGGCAAAGTGCAATTCGTTTCCCTTGATGGAGGTATTTGACATTGGAAAACTGACTACGCCAAGAGAAATCACGTTCGGCGACGCCGATTACTTCTATTTACGATCCTCAGGCGGCCGTGATCAGGGTTACATCCCCAATATGCGCCCCAGCTGCTGCGCCCCCGCGGCCGAGAGCAGACCGTCCCCGTGGTGGCCTGCGAGTGGCTGGAGGGAGTTTATGGTTGCATGAACCAGGGCCACGGGAGGCAGAGCCAACGACCAACTGCATATCGTGGGTTATTCTTGGGTAGAGGCCGCCTCGTGTGGTCAACGATTGCGTCTTTCTCCGTCTCGCAAGTAAACTATCGTTTCAGGAACCGCCCAGGCAGAATTGGAGGGAATGTATAGTAGTATAATAAATAAGCTGGGAACAGGCGGATGCCCAATTCCATTCAGAAGAACTTTACCTTAATTGACCACACACTATTCAATCCCTTTCGTTCCGTCTGGTGGTACATGATCAATAATGGCCCCCGCGTCCTCTTCGCGTGTGAAAGAACCCAAACTCCCCACGATCGGCAGTTTGTACGACAAATTAAATTATGGCAACCGCATATGCGAGCGCCGTCCCGAGCGCAATGGCGTGCTAAAGAATAGCATCAGGACGTTTGATACGAGCCATAGCCACAAGTACCAAAAGCCTCTCTCTACCAATGATCTCAATAAGAGAGTGTATAAGGACTCCATGTCACAGATGGCAAGTGATTTCTTGAAAGAGGAAGGGCCTAGACTGTGGCCAAATGACCATAGTGATACCGGGCTATATGAGGGGACTCTTGTCTGGCCGAAGGATAGAGTTAAGTAAGTGTGAACCCTTAACCGGTCTATATGATAGAGCTATACTAACACTATGAACTATCTCTAGGCTCCAAAATTTGATAACTCAAGTGTTGCTTAGAAAGTGCCTTAATAAGCTGAAGAATGATAGAACGAGGAAGCGGCAGAGTGGTCATAGGCCTCGAGGCGCAGATTCCTCGACGATGGAGATTGTTGATGATGAACCAGATAACACACCACTGACACCACGTCGGCGCTCCCCAATTTCTCAACAACTTCAGCTCCCCGGAAATATTCAGACTACTCCACAGTCTGCCACAACGCATCCAGCTACAATGGAGGAGGATGACCCTTTTGCTTCTGAAGGGGAAGATGCCGAGGCAACTCAGAGACGTGACAGAGGTCGCCCAACACAGCCACTCCCCAGCGCTACCCCTTCAACAACCTTGATCGCGCCAGGGAGACCTGCTAGCACGGGCCATTCTCCATTGGGAGCCACGTCATCTCGTTCCGACGTAGATGGCCGCAATACATCCAGCAGTCTTACAGAAGGAAATCTCCACGCTCACAATAGTAGTGTTCCTCCACTGAACAATTCGCACAGTAGAGAGGTTGATGTTATATCGGATGATGATGGCTTTATGCCCCCCTTGGAAGAGATCCTTTCAAGCCCTGATAGAGGACAGAGCAGCAGAAAGGGTAAAGAGAAGGAGGTTGAAAAGGAGAGGCGGAAAGAGATGCCTCCTCCACGACTACCTGCTGAGCGAGCAGGTCCAGTTACGGACCCAGACCAGAGCAGTCAACAGATCTGGCCAAGGCAAGGTACCTCGTCCATGTCTCGGTTCCCCAGCCAGCAACGAGGGACCTCAGTCTTCTCTACGGTTGAATGCGGTCGCGCTCCAAGTCTACGACCTCGAGCACCTGAAGCCTCTATGGAGGGTGTGATAGATGAAGTAACTCGCCCTTCTGTCGAAACTGATGACATGCAACATATGAATGAGAGTCGTGAGGGTGGAGCGACGACAAGAAAATCGCCTTTGGAGCCGGAAATATGGTTTCGAGCCATTGTCTCGCGCAAGCCTCCCGTTGAAGAGTCATGGAAGCCCAATGGGAAGTTCTCTGACAAAACACTTGAAGAATTAAAGAAGGAGCTCCCGTTCAACTTTGACGACGGTGATGTGGTGGGATTGAAATTTACACTGAAGAGTCATGAAGGGATGAGGATAGTAGAAACAATCGACCACAATAACAGACACGACCTGCAGCATCTCAAACGTGTTTTCGGAGAGAGAATCAGAGAGGCGATGAAAGAAAGGATAGGGAGAGACAGAGGTCCTTTCACTTTTGATATGGAAATTGAGACTGTAAAATGTAGTCGAGAAATGACGGTCGGTAGGGAGGAGTCATTAGCACCACTCTTATGGTAGATTCAGGATATATCAGCTGAACAACACCTCGTCTTTCGCGAGATTATGACTTTCTAGAGGTGCATCCTGTATTGACCTTTGGGAATGGGAAGTTTCCAATTGCGAAAGCCCCAAGACAACACAGCGGGACCAGTTACGGCTTGTTATATAAGCTTTCTTCTTAATACAGATTCCCATACTACAATAGAGGTTGAGGTCACAGTTCACGATGCGAAGGGGAAGGTTAGTTAGGTGCCACCTTGAAGCAAGGTGTTCATTCCACTTTCATTCAAACATTGAACCAATGCATTGGTAGCAATACTCTCTACTCTCGTGGCCATGTAGCTTACGGGACTCAACCTATCAACGGGCTGCTGTGACAGTCAGCTCTACGTGGCTGAGTAGACTGGCTTCCCTAATATGTGCCAGAATGCTAAAACGTAAGCGAAGAATGCGAATCTCACTTTTCGTATCCAACAAATTTGGGAATTCGGAGTGCAAATGCCTAATGACGTTATGGCCCCTTCATAGTCCCGCTTTGGGTTACATTTTACACTGCCACTCGTCGGCAAGATTCATTCTCACATCGCAACGTGGTGCCCGATCACCAGCTCGTGCCAACGTAATCATCGTAAATAATCCCTCAGATCCATCCTTCGCCACGGGCCGATACGGCATTCGAACCGATAAACAAGGTATATGCAGCCTGCATCCCGTGACTGGTTCAAAACAGGGCACCAGTGAACCCCTCAGATGATGGAGGTTTGGACCCTGTTTCTCAAGGAGGGGGCTGACGTCAATGTTGCCCAAAAATAACCATTTAGCCATCACTCCAGGCCTACTACTTGTTTTTTGAAGCTATTCAGACCCAGGTATGTCAATAGCGCTTCCTTGTGGATGCGGTCAGCTTGATATGGGCTTTTACCCCATCCCATGCATTCAAACTGACAGGGGAGAGAGCTTAAGTTAGAAATCAATGTTATGCTCGGCAAACACTTAGACAATTTAGCTCACAGTAGCGAACGCTCGGTTAGCCTTTACTTCTGTATGCTTCCATCTCGAGCAAGGGCCCAGCACACAAGAGCATCTGGATTCCTCTGCACTTCCGTCATACTAGCTCGTAACCAGATCCACAGGCGTTCAATATTGATCTGTTGGTCCATGAGATTTTTCAGGTTGAGGCTGATCCCATTTTTCTCCTGGAACTCTTTCACGAGCCTTCCAACCTCCTGGGCAGGAGGGGTTAAATGGTCCATTTCCGTATTATCCAGGATGTGTGCCTCGCGCATAGGTGATATCAGATCATCAATCTGCTGCTTTACCACCTCATTGTGAGCCGCACAGGGGTCAATGAATTCGAGTCTCAATTGTATGGATGCCCAGTTCCTATCATAGTAGGAGGCCAGGTCCCGTAGATGCTCTTCCTGAAGGTAGTGGATCCAGCACAGTAACCTGTTGCCAAGTTCTTCTCTCCCATGCTCCTTTTCGAAGCATATGTTGCATCGCGCCTCATCCAGAAGCGAGGTCGAGATAATCTCATCCTCCCAAGTAGTGTGGCCAAGGACAGGCTTCCAACTTGTCAGTTTCCCACCAAGTCGAAACGCCCGAATCTCTTGCCACTTCTGGCATCCGGGGCATCGTGCCATGTACATCTGCCAATGTTGCCCAATGAGCCGGCCAAGGTAATGTTCTTGAACAATCTTGTGGAAGACGGGTCGTTTGTTCACAAAGAACTCCCAGTATGTCGGAAAATAACGATCCAAAGGAGTGGCAAAATAAAGATTCAAGCTGATCTGGATCGGAAACGCAAGTGTGCCACGCCGACCAACGGGGTTCTTTTGGTATCGGCATTCATTGCACCTGCGGAAGTGACGTTTGGTTCCCATGTCCTCCAATTCCAGATCCTCCATGACCTTGTCGAACACAGCACTCCTCGCCTCGTCCGGACAGAGCCTGATCTGTTCTTCGGTCAATTCCTCAAGCGCTTCTATGCCAGCATCGCGCATCTGTAGTATGGCTTCCGCTGTCATAGGGTCTTGGTGCTCATAGATGTGCAGAAGGTAGTAGTGGTATCGGCGTCGCCTTGCCTCCCGGGATACATAGGCGCCAACCCGGCCTCCCCATTTTTTGCCGTAGAGCGAGGGCTTCCATGTTGTCAGAGTGTTGGCAGCAGGAGCTTCCGGAGGAGGCTTCCTATAGCCACGGCGGAGGAGGGAGCGGTTGTCAAAGTGCGAGTGGGACAGCAGTTTGAGACATCCGGAACAGGCCCATCGTGTGGATTTCCAGGACTCGTAAGTCCACCAACCAGATCTCTGAGCGAACCCTGCGTCAAACGGCTCTGTGCACTCGAGTGCCAGCAGCCGTTCGACGAACTCCCGCTTGCCGGGCTTGATGACCTGGCGGAAACGGACACTGGTCTGGCTGAGGGAAATAAGACTGATGGAGTCGAGATCTGCAACGATTCGGTGTAATATCTCGTTAGGCAAGAACGGAAACGGCATGGCATCTGACAAGCGCGATGAGGGATGGGATGAGCGTGGGTCGTGGCAGGGGAGAGAAGTGAAATGGGGTCGTGAGGAGCCGCTGGCATCATCACCACGTATTTACCTGCCGGAAGAGGCTAATGCCACCAGCCACAATTGCAGGCCTATGGAGCTGTGGCGGAGTCGGCTCCAGTTTTGTCCGATACTTACCCTAGACCCTAGATTGATGTCCTTCACGATTTACCACCAGAGTAAGATCTGGGGTCGAATTTATCTTAGCAGGAGCTGTAATTGGCCAGCAAATGTTCCTTCTTTCGGTTAAGACATCCAACTTTTAAATCGAATGTTAGTATAATAAGTATAATGGTGTTATTAAACACTTCGTCATTTAGTATCATCAACACCTCCACATCATGATGAAACACTGTGGATTACGACGGGAGAGCTAAGAAATGACTCTTCACTTATCAACCTAAACAAAACTTACATCCAACTGATTTCTAATTTGTCAACATTATCAGACAAATCCCTTACACATCTCCGAGATTGCCGTTCCAGGTTCAACGCCATCTGTATTGGCGTGTGAATCAGATCCATCGTGAATGTTGTTCCCCACTCATCGCGAATCAGCAGCCGGCCTCCTCGTAAATAGCTTACGGCTTTCTTGTTGTTAGAATTGTAACCCCAGACCTTGTCAAATCCCGGAATTTCGGGAAATAATCTTAGTTCCTAGCCTCCTGCGGTATTCGACTATCAAGACCGACCACCTGACATATTTGGATTAGACGTAGAGTGATAATTATTCAGCAGAAGATGTGGTCCGTGATAATCAATCGACACGAGCCAACAGTCTCATTTATTATTACGCTCCTCCTACGTCTACAAATTGCCTAGCCGACGGCCTTTCCCACCCGCCTAAGAACTAAGGTGTGGCCAATGCCGGGGTCTAGCAGGACTCTTGGTTGGCCAGAGTGCCGTTAGCTGGTCTTGAGGCAATCGACGAGCACATCCGCGCGCGTTCTTTCCAAACAGAGCTTGGTGCAGAGCGGATATGGGGAGACGCTGCCGGCAATTTAGCCGGACAGGCATTCCCCCGTCTTACCTGGGTCTGTTTCAAAGCATTCCTTTAAGACCGGCTCGCCCGCTTCGGCGTTAGCAGGTCCCGATTAAAATAGCTGCCGTAGACGCGGTGAGGAGGCATGATGGGCAGAAGCGAGAGACGGGCGGCGGCTGCATTGTGTGCGGGCAGAGACGCTATCGGAGGATAAATGAGCTTTACGCTGCATGATGGGCGCAAAGAAACTTCAGCTATGCAGGGGCCGACGAATCAGGCAGGGTGCTGTGCTGCAATGTGAAAGGTAAGCTGTATGTACGATGTAGGGGGAGGGGGCGAGGTGCATACATATATTATTACCTCTCAACCATATTAATAATGGCCTACATGCACTTCTCCTCACGGTTGGGAGAGGCCTCTTGCCGCTCTCTCGCTTGAGCTACCAATCAGGCCCGCCAGTCTGCGGTTGTTTAACTATTCAGGCCGACTCCTTCTTGTCCTTGATGCCTGATCCTGCATGGTGCAGAGCTGAACATTGTTTTTGAAACCAATAATAAGTTTTTGTCACCCCCGCTCTGGCTACGCGTCAATCTGATTGATTCTGATTTATGATGAAAATGGTATTTCGGTTTACATATCCCAACAAAAAGCGCCTGCTGCCATGCAGTAAGAATGGAAACCGCGCTGTATAGCGATGCGTGTTATCAAGACCAATCACCCTTAACCTGGCAAGCGGGTAGGACGCGGGACGAGTGAAATGCTATTTTTACAATCATGTCTCATGTCCTATTGGCCAGGGCGCATTGCGTATGAGTCGATGCTCTCTGAAGTACGAGAAAAAAGAAAAAAGAAAAGAGCGGCGCGGAACACAGCGACGGCAACGAGCGCCTGTCAGATTTTGTCAGATCCAGAGCCGGGCTGAAACTCGCACATCGTAATCCGGGGCTCCAAAAGAAGCCTAGAAAAATGTCATCGCCAGTCTCCTCTCTGTCTGTGGGGACTTTTGGGTTGGGTGAGCAGTGGGCATGAATAAAGGATGATGCGACGAGATTGAACACTCGACGCCACAGATGGTTGCGCCACGGACCGACAGTTGGGAGCAGTAATACTTGATCTGGAATCGGATTTATTCTATTATTTTGGTACCTTAAAAAGCTGACGAGGAACCAACAGGCCAGATTTGTGACGTCTGTAGCGCCTTGACAAGAAACGACAGGGACAGGGGTTGGCGAATCCTTCTCTGCAGCGGCCCAGACAGTCAAACAAGTCCCAAGCCTGGGCTTGCCCTTAATAATATCTGAATTCGAGTAAGAGCCCTTCAGATGATACCTCAGCGTTACACTGTGGCTGACGGTGGAGCATCAAATCCTTGCCCAGTCATCCAATCTGCGACATGAGTTTGCCCAGCGGGTGTTCTTTTTATATCCGCCTGAGCACGGAGCGATTTAATTCCTGTCGTACCCTCTCTCTTTCCTTGTTCTGGA